AGTGCGGCAAGCCCATTAACGAGCAGAGCCAGCGAGCAACTACTCGTTACAGGACAATGCCCAGCGCTGCTGCCAATCGAACGTCAGCACCTGCGTCATAAGGCGACGACAACGACCCAAACGGCAGCCAAAGGCTGAGGCGCTGGTCGCCCACCCGGGCTGCCGGGTGCGGGCGTGTCAGACCGGGCGGGCACCCCGAAACTTTTCGATGCATATCCCTTTTTGGGGCGGCGAGGACGACTACTTTGCATTACAAGCGCCCACAGTGAAATTAAAATAAAGTTCTTTCTGCTGGCTATCTGGGACGGGGCAGAGTTTTGCCTTTTTTGTGCTTAACTACAAATAAATCTAAAACTCGCACATTCCTCAAAGCCTTGACGTCGCTGATGGGCACCGCCGGCAGACAAAGCGCTCAGGATACGCCAGGATACGAGTTGGCCACAGTTGGGCAACTCAGTTTTATTTTGCATTTACATGCCCACATGCATAATGCATATATTTGTTTGTGTGTGTCGGCATGTGTGTGTGTTTGTGTGTGGTCCTTGGGTCCATTGAATGCTCTAACATTAAATCCTTTACAATATTTAAAAGCACTAAGGAATCAATGGAAACCTCGGTTTGGAACTCTGCCCAGCACGATTTAAGGGTGCAGAATATTAGAGAAAAATATTGAAGTTGTGGCCAAGAGTTTGGAAAATTTTAAAAGTATTTTTCCACTGCTTCTCTATAAAATTAGAAAATCTGAAGGTCAAATGTATATGTATGTACCTCTTAGAAGTAAATATTATCGTACTGATCTTATACGTGTAAACTGACAAAACCTTATAAGAAATTCCATTTTATTTATTTCACAATTACATTACATAATTATATAATTACAGCTTTGTTGAACCTATACTTAATTGTTAAACATATATTCGTGTTTACATAAATATTAACAGGTATTACCCGGCATAGCCCGTAGCAAATTTGTAGATATTACTTTTTCCCCCTGTTTCCGCCCGTGGAAAATTTAATTTTGCCTATCTTGAACTTCACGTGTATTTGAAAATTTTTTGAAAGATATCGAACAATGAACCACAAGTTGGGATCAGCAAGAAATAAACATTCGTTCATTAAACCTTTAAGCCGTATATTCCAACCAAGAGCAATGTATGTCGTAGTTAATTCATTTTGACAAAAATGAATTTGAAGCCGATCCGATGGTAAACAAGAAAGATGCATGCAACAGTTTTTCGGCAAATTTCTACAATTGCGGGCGGAATTTCGAAAATCGTGGAAACACGTGTTCATTAAGTTCTTATGTGGGGCTTTGAAAATAAGTATGGGGCCACACAGACAAAACTTAAATCGCATTTTCCACAGAGAAAGCTTAGAGCTGAATTTTCAAAAAGCCCTACTTGAATTAGTGAGAATTGCGAAGTAGAGCAATATTTATAAATACGTTTCATTTTTTCAGCTCAGCTCAGCATACACACATATTTAAATACATATACACATGTATGTATTCCAATAAATACAAAATAACATGCATGCATACGCTTGTAATAGTTGTTACTTTCGTTTTAAATATTATAGGCATAGTTATGTTAATAAGAAGAACCAGTTTTATCAATGCCACATTTTAAATTGATGCCCCCTCCTCCGGCAAAGCCAGAGCCACCGTCTCCTCCACAGTTCCGCCGTCTCTAACATAAAGCCATTGCCTACTCAATTGATGAAGCTGCCGTATCCTTCATAGTTGAAGCTGCCGTCACCTCCAAAATTAAAGCCGTCGCACTCTCCATTATTTAACCGGCACCTCCTCCGTAGTTGAAGCTGCCGTCTCCTCCACAGTTGGAGCCGCCGTCTCCTCCAGGGTTAAAGTCGCTTCCTCTACTTGAAGTGAAGCTTAAGGGCTAACTCGAATTCATGCGAATCGAGTAGTAGGGCATTATCGAAGAATACTTTTTTTTCTAATTTGCAGCGCAGTTAGCGGTTAACTTGGTCTTGCATATAAACATACAAAATATATGCATATATTTATTTACATATATAATATATATATATATCTACATGCATACACACATGGATATACATATACATGTATATTTACATTTCAACAAACATTAATTGTTTTATACATATATACAATACTTTCATGCAAGCACACTTACACACATACACATATACATACATACACACATACATACATACATATATACATATATACATACATACACACATACACACACACCTACTTACATACATACTTACACATACATACGTACACTCACATACATACATACACACATATATACATACATGCCTATACACATATGTATATACAAAGAAACGATCATATATACATATAGCGGGTACTCCCCTGCCTTGCCCGTGGCTAGTTTTATGCTTACAATTTTAGAAATAATATTATCATCTAGTTAACGTACGTGGTAAATTCAATTATATCCGTATAATCTTGAACTACTGCAGCTTTTTTCCTCACAGATATTTGAAAATAGGTTAAAAATCCACCGAATTTTACTATCCAAGAGGGGCGGATTTTGAGAAAAGTGTGAAACGCATCTCATATAAATTTGAATAATGTTCTTTGAAAATGATTTTGAAGCCGATCGAAAGGTAAACAAATAACTTTTTTACAACCGTTTTCCGGTAATTTAACACAGTTCTGGATTAGATTTCCTAATTCGCTGAAACTTAAAGGCCGATCAGACGAGTTCTGAAACTTTCCACGTACAACCTGTTGCCGAAAAGTGTGAATTACGACCCTAGAAATGTTCTTAAAGATCTTTGCAATTGAGCTTGCGTCCGAAATTTCGCCCATCCTTTGATCCTTTCATCCGCATTTCCGTCCAAAACGGGTGGATATTGCGAAAAGTATGAAACACGTCTCCGATGAATTTGAAGAAAGATCTTTGAAAATGATTTTGCAGCCGATCGTAACAAAGAACTAGCATACAACCGTTTTCCGTTATTTGCTTCAGTTACGGGTGGAATTTCCAAAATCGTTGAAACATGTTTTGATACAGTTTTTATGCCGGGCTTTGTACTTAAAATATGAAGCCGATCGGACGAAACTTAAAAATTCGATCGAATAATCTTTGAACCGCATTTTCCACCGAGGAATCTTGGATTCTGCGAAAAGGGTGAAACACGTCTCGAATGAATTCTCATAAAGAAATGATGCTGCGAAACTTGTGAAACACATCTCAAATGAATTTCCATAAAGTTTTGATTCGATTTATTTTTGAATATTGTCGTTTAACGTTCTTACGTAAATAATTTATAATTTCTCTTATTCATTTTCAGATAAACGAAAATAGTGTATTTATGCTTCGATATGCTGCCCCAAGCTCTTTCTCATTTCTTGCTGGATTTTTTAGTTTCAGTTTTTCGCCCTTCTAGTTCTCTGCTTTTTTTTTTTTTGCTTTTGCGAAAGACTTTGGAAACAAGGCGCAGGCTACAAAAAATAAAGTATGCAAAAAGTAAAACAAAAAACGTCGGACACAAAGGATGCTACAATAATATCCTTAAGCTACAAATGCAACATGAATTTGTCTTTGCTCGACCCGAGACCCGAGCACGGGTCTGAGTATGGTTGTACAGCCCCGCCCACAATGGCCGCCCACTTAGCCCGCACTCAACAATTTTGTGTTGTTGCTGTTGCTCTTTCTTCGAGTTGCCTTGGTAAAAAACACAACAACAACAAAAATTAAAAATAAAGGATACTCGAACTTTACAAATGCATGCACATTAGAGCGCCAACCCGGGCGATTTACATGTGTCTGTCCGTATGTGTGTCTGTGTGTGTGTGTGTGTGTGTGTGGCTGAGTGTGTCTGAGTGTGTCTGTGTGGGAAGTAATCTTATGCGTATCATGTGAACTCCACATATGCCTTGATTCAGCTCCTATATGTTTTCCTATTGCTAGTCCTTTGGTCCTTTTTGCTGCTTTTGCTTCGACACTTATTTTAATTTATTTCATTTCATTTATGTATGCTACAAATGTCCTTTGTGCGTTTGTCCTTCTCTCGCCTACCTTCTTTTACTTTCTGCTGGGCTCTTGCTCAACACTAGTTAAAGTGTGTGTGTACGTGTGTGTGTGTGTGTAATTAAATAAAAACGTATCTCAAGCGACTTAATACACACACGCACACACATCCGACTGTGTCTATGCATGTATTTAAATATGTGTGTCTGTTCTCGCTTCCTGAACATATTTTGCAAGCTTTTATTTTAATTGCACATTGAAATTAATGTGTTACTCTCTCTCGGCAAAGGAAAGAGAATCTTAACTTGTATTTCTTGCTGTTGTAGATTTTTATACCCTTATATACCATTTAATACATTGACAAGAAAGAGACCCAACTAGTAGACACCCAGCACCCAGCGCCGAGCTGCCGTGTGAAAAATTCGAGCTTTCTTTTAAACTCACATATGCCAAAGCATACATAGACACCCATACACACACACACACATGCAAGCACACTTAATCCAGCAGCACAGCTTCTTTTTCTCTTTTCCCCTATACTTTGAGAAGTGGATTTTTGAATAAGTTCGGTCTTTATAGTCCGATCTATTTGTTTCAGATATTTATTATAGCATCAAAATGTGGATGCTTACGAAAGCGCAATGTGATATGAAAATAAGAAATATTCCTACTTATATACAAAGTTGGCAGCACTAGCTGTTCTATATTGTTCGATGTAAAGGAAAATAATTTCGCGTGTAAAAATCGAGAAGAAATATTCCAAATTTCAAGCACGTATCCAGTTCTTAAAGCTTCTACTCCTAGTGCACGGCTGTGTTTCCTTCTGCCAGATACACACATTTAGCTACCCTCTAATAAGGTTATCAAAAGTTTTTTTTTTTATTTCCTATTTATATATAAGCCGGTTAAAACTGAGATTCATTTTCATCAATCAATTGCTATCTTTAGAATAGTTATACAAAAAAAAAGTTTGAAATTTAATTTTGCCCAAAATGAAGTAAGTCAAAATTATTTCTCATCCAACCTTTTATCTAGGATTCGAGTTCTAATTGAACTCACTTGTAGAGAATTGCTTAAGAGTTTTCATATCATTGTAAGCATCGGCCACATGATTTGTCACAGAGTAGTCGACCGTCGTATCCGCCGTGCCGGTTGAGCCTGTCAAAAACTGAAAGGGAACTGCAGGCGTGAAGATAGACTCAGTCTTGAATTCGTTTCGGTAAATGTCCTGCTCGTCGCCAGCCGATTGCATTTTAATGAATGTTTCCGCCTGGCTAGCTTCAGCCTGATCTTTCATCAGCATTATTTTGTCCGTTTGCTGGCCCTGATCATGATCCATGGCTTCACCCTTGTCTTGATTGCGACGCAACAGCTCCCAATAGGAGACATTCGGATGAAATAAGGGCTGATACTTGGGCGGCACCAGCACCTTGGTAGCCTTGGGAATCAGCTTGGTCACTGGACGCACATAGTAGCCATCTCCGGTGGTACCATTGGTAACTCTTAGCTGGGCCAGGCGGCTTGTTAAATGGGTATCATGCTTGGCTGTGAATACACATGGGATTAGATTTTCGATTCGAGGTTCGAGATTCCATCAGCGTGTGCCTCACCTATGAAATGCTGCTGCTCGCGCAGCTCGCGCTCCGGCATCTCCATGGGCATTGGTGTTGGATAGTCTGTGTGTGGCCCAATCTTTACCTGATCGCCCATCAGCTTGCGGGCGCGGCTGGACACGGAACGCTTGCCTGTCACCACATGCTCAAACCCCGGCGGCGGAGGCGCTGCCATTGCACCGAGTTGTAATGAAGAGAATTCGGGAGACAATCAGATTGAATACTCACGTATGGGATTGCTGGGATCCAGCTGGCTACGATTGGGATCCAATGGTTCCCACACCTGCCGGGACTCGCAAACTGGCTGCCACTGCGTCATATCGTATTGGGAGTGGGACAAAGTGACCTGGCAACGGGAACGGGCGCGGGGCGAGACACACGCACGTCGCCCCTGCTGGTTATCCCCATCATGTGCTTCATAGTTTTGTTGATCCAGCGGCACAGATTCCTCATGGATATCCGGCATCGATGGCCTGTACTGCTGCTGCTCCCAGTTGTTTGCGACTGTCTGGGGCTGACCTGGCTGCAGAAGCGGCTTCTGTTCGATGCTCAAAGGCGCCGGCATACGCATCGGTGTATAGAATGTGGACAACACGCGCTTCTCCGGCTGCATTAGGTTACCGTAGCCAGCTATCAGTGGCTTCATCATAGGTCTTGGACCACGCGGCTGCCAGTTCATCGGCGCAGGGCAGCGTGGATGCACCTGGCCCGAACTCGTGCCGTAGGGACAGGCGGTGCGAGTCCGGAATTCGTTATGATGGCGACGTGGCCGATAGGTGCTACCCTGACTGCTGGATCTGTGATGGTGTCGATGGTCAGGAAACGGCGTCGGTTGACGTGGCCACACGCTCCGAAAGGGTCGGCGGAAATCATTGGACGATGGAACCCGATTCGGTGAGCTGTGCGCAGCTCTTGGCGTTGACGTTGGCATTGGAGGCTTCAACGGTGCCGGCTTCGGTGACGTATTGCCAACCACCTGCTCGGTGTTCTGCGCCAAAGCTGCTGTCGGGGTGGATGTTAGCGGGATAGCCGGCGTTGCCTTAAGCGTCACCGTCGGCGAAAGCGTCGTTAAAGGTGTTGCCGGTCCCGCTGCCGCTGCCGTTGTCTTTCCCTTTGCCGTTGGCATTCGTGGCATCGGTTTCGGAGGCCCAGGTCTTACATTGTTCGGCAACCGCAGCGGCTCATCGATGATCCCAGTGGCCACCACAGATGCCCAGGAAGTTGAACGCCTTGATGACATGGCAAAAGGATTAATGGTTTACCTCTTAGCCGTGACAAATACCATTGAGTTGCTTGACAAGCGGTTCGCTCCCTAGTGACCCGACCACTAGTCTTTAGCTATTGATAGATCCCTGAGCTGTGTATCGGGTCAATTGATTTGCACAAAGCTGTGACAAACTATGTTCGAAATGTACAAAAGAAATAATGCGGCATTTGACAGGAATTTCAAGGCCTGATATTCAAATGTCACACGCAAAGTCTGACTATTATTTTGTCTACGGTCCTAAACAGAGCCAATCTGTGTTAGAAATGGGAAATTTGCATAGGGTTAGCATATGATTGGATTTGACATCATGAGAATCCAATAAAAAGGCGATCCTGCAAAATGGGCGAGTGTAAGAGAAGAGATGCCAGATTGTATTAGGGGATTGATGGAGCAAGAGGTGACGATTTAATGGAAAAATAACAGCGAGAAAGAGAGAGGGAGCGAGCGAGAGAGAGACAGAGAGACAGAAAGTGGAAGACGGGCGCAAATGTTAATAGTAATTAATAAGGTGAGAAAGATGGAAGATACATTTTTGAAACGTAATATTGAAAATAACAATAATATCATCTTATATTAAAAAAATATAATTGATAGGAGATTCTTTATATATAAAAAAGGTCTTAATTCTTGTTTTCAGAGCTTTAAGTGGCAGGATGTTTTTTCAGTGATTTAAAGTCAAGATTTTAAAATTTAATCTTAAACAGAAAGCTTTACTAAGTGAAAAAAGTATTTTAACCCTTTTGTATTTACACCCTCCTTGAAGCTTTAATTCGTAGAGCTTTAAGACCCAGCGTATGGTTAATGAAAACAAGCTTACATGAATTAAAAGTTTAATTCATTTAAATCTCCCAAAAAGCTTTACGTCGAATGTTGTAGCGCCATCTAGTGTAATAATTGACTAAGCTTACCAACAAGATCCTTGTATTCTTTAGAGCAAGGGAGCTTACATTAAGCAAAAGCTGTTCATAAAAATCGTCCAAAAAGCTTTACTCCGACTATTGCAGCGCCATCTAGAGTGGTATTTTCAAAGTAATTGAAGCGAAATATCAAGGTTGCAAACACAAATTGCTGGTACTTCATCCGTTGCCCAAAATTCAAAAACAGTTATTGTTTTGTCTTTTTTCTCAGTTCCTTCATCACAGCTGATGCACCTGATGTGCTTTATATGTATGTGTGTCTTGCATGTTTGTATGTGTGTGCATGTATGCATTCATTTCATTTGTTGGTGATTAATATAAGCCAATAATAGTGCAGAAAGACTACAAAAAAACATCTAATTCAGAACATAAAATGCAAATATTTCAGAAAAACATTGTACAATTTTGCTAAATTTTAAATAATTGCTTAATTGATTATTAGTTAAGTAAAGAGCAACAGCCACACAGAGCTATGTACATATGCATGTAAGAATGTCCACAATCGAAGTCAATTTCGCTAGCCAGCCCGAAACTTAGCCCAGCAACAACCAACAATCAAGACAAACGACTCGACAATGAAGAAAATAGACAGTAAGTTCAATCCTTGCTATTCCTTTTTGTTTTGGGCTACAACCTATGATCTAAGCTACTGCACTCTTCTAACTCATTGTAGTGGTTTATGAGCACTGCTATGTCTGAGATTCGCAGTCCCAGTGGCTTCGTTTGTCCCATTTCTTTGCACATAGTTTCCTATGCCATCGATATCTTGCACAAGCATCTAGGCTATCAGGACAGACGAAAAACGCATTACGGGGTTTCATGCGCACTGTTGGTGTTTGGCAAGTGATTTGTTGTTGCTTTCTATGGTGAGCTTGATTTTTATGCCCTATATAAATTAATATTAATTACTCTCTATCTTCATCACACACAAGGCAGAGCCCCAATTTGTACCATTAGTTGTGAAATTTTTCAAAATTTTAAGCCAAGCCCACAAATACCTACCTTTCATAGAACAAAACCATGAATTCATTTTCACGAATTTATTTTCATTTTTTTTAGCACTTACGGCAGAGATATTGAGCTAGGCGACGACGCCTATATGCTTGCTGCGTTTTCAGATTAGGCATATAACCAAGCATTGTTGGAAATGTCATTTATGTACATGTTGGACATGAGCCAAAGGCTTTCATCAGAACTATCGTCGGATTCAACGACACCAACAAGGGATAGCAGCTGTTGCTTGTCAATAGTAATGAGCGCGAAGCGGGACAGGGATCATCCATAAACAGCGAAGTTGATCAGTTTGTTGCTGAAATCGCCGCTGTAGAAATGCCTGTAATGATGCATAAAATGAGATAGTTTCTTTATAAATGTGGAAGTGTTGAAATGCCAGACAGTTGTTGCTTACTCATATCAATCTGAGGTACACAGCTTAACTTCATTTTTGTTGGCAAGAAGTACAAGTAAAGTGAAGTGTGCTGGTCCAGCGATGTGGCAGTTGCTCCGTCTCTCGGTCCAGCGATATTTGCGTAACTTTCATTGATGCGGTAACTTGACTTCGCCCTCTTTGCTAATTACTGGCCTTGTGGCTCAGCAATGTGATTGTAAGATACAACAAATGTTATTTTCGGCAGCGTGCCGGAGTAATGCAAGTTTATTCTTAAACGTCAAATACAAAACTGAACTGTAGTATAAAATTGAATTGAAATTAAACCTAAAAGCTGGACCCATAAGCTACAAGACTACAGCCGGCAAGCCGACTAAGCATAAGCGATAACGCAGACACTTGCAGCATAGTCAAGTATCAGGTTACCGCTGCTGACTATTGCGGTCGGGCCGCTGAACTCATGCGTCAGCGGAATATGTTTGGAGCAAATGTGTAAAGATAAGTGCTGTGCAAGTTTCTTATATAAAGTTATTCGTGTGCAATTCTTATGTGTTAACTTACATAATCATTGGTCAGACCCCTTTTACCCGAAGCCGACGATTTTTAAGAGACTCAGTTCAATGTTTCCGCTGCAAGCAGTACTCGAGCGCCTCAAGACTTGGCGATATCTTGCAGCTTGGCCAGATACTCCTTGACCAGCGATATTGATTGGCTATTTGAAAAGGCGCAGCAGTCCATCTGCAGCGCGAGCCCATAGCTGCAAAGCACCAGATAAGTTTGGCTGCCATCAGTCGGATAGTTGCTGAATAAGTATGCATTGGAGTTGCTACAGTTTCACATGCTTCAAAAATCCTCAGTGTGCGCACAAATAGCGATAGCCGTCTCCCCAGCATTACCCAAATGCTGTGATTTGCGATTCCTATTTGACACCTTGCTTTGGGAGCGCAGTTTATTGAGGCTCCGAGAAGTTCCTTACCGGCGGCAATTGTTAACGACATATAGTAAATGTATGCGCAGTTCCACCTTATTTTTTACTAAATATAAACATGGCAACGACTTTTACATGCTCCAATTATAACAGGCAGCATTAATCATGTAGACGGCGGCACAATAAGTTTTATGTTGAAAATAAGGCGGGAGTCTGGTGACATGTTTGTATTAGGGTTGCACAGACATTGAACATCGGTGTGTTTTCAGCTGTTTTTCTGAAGACGATATATTGGTATTAATCGTTTTTTATGCCACCACCATCGCCCACTTTGAGCGGAAATTTGAATGCAATGGTAACTTTTGCTTAATTTAGAGCCAGCAACGAAATAGAACAGCCAAATTTATAATGGACCTTATTTTGATGAAAAATGTGGCAACGATGTCACAGTATTTTTCTTTACCAGCATTTACATTTTATCATAAATTTTATTATAAACAACGATTAATACCGATATATCGTGTTCGGAAAAACAGCTGAAAACACACCGATGTTCAATGTCTGTGCAACCCTAATACAAACATGTCACCAGACTCCCGCCTTATTTTCAACATAAAACTTATTGTGCCGCCGTCTACATGATTAATGCTGCCTGTTATAATTGGAGCATGTAAAAGTCGTTGCCATGTTTATATTTAGTAAAAAATAAGGTGGAACTGCGCATACATTTACTATATGTCGTTAACAATTGCCGCCGGTAAGGAACTTCTCGGAGCCTCAATAAACAGCGCTCCCAAAGCAAGGTGTCAAATAGGAATCGCAAATCACAGCATTTGGGTAATGCTGGGGAGACGGCTATCGCTATTTGTGCGCACACTGAGGATTTTTGAAGCATGTGAAACTGTAGCAACTCCAATGCATACTTATTCAGCAACTATCCGACTGATGGCAGCCAAACTTATCTGGTGCTTTGCAGCTATGGGCTCGCGCTGCAGATGGACTGCTGCGCCTTTTCAAATAGCCAATCAATATCGCTGGTCAAGGAGTATCTGGCCAAGCTGCAAGAAATCGCCAAGTCTTGAGGCGCTCGAGTACTGCTTGCAGCGGAAACATTGAACTGAGTCTCTTAAAAATCGTCGGCTTCGGGTAAAAGGGGTCTGACCCAATGATTCTCGCCAACAAAAATGAAGTTAAGCTGTGTACTTCAGATTGATATGAGTAAGCAACAACTGTCTGGCATTTCAACACTTCCACTTTTATAAAGAAACTATCTCATTTTATGCATCATTACAGGCATTTCTACAGCGGCGATTTCAGCAACAAACTGATCAACTGCGCTGTTTATGGATGATCCCTGTCCCGCTTCGCGCTCATTACTATTGACAAGCAACAGCTGCTATCCCTTGTTGGTGTCGTTGAATCCGACGATGGTTCTGATGAAAGCCTTTGGCTCATGTCCAACATGTACATAAATGACATTTCCAGCAATGCTTGGTCTTATATGCCTAATCTGAAAACTCAAGAAGCATATAGGCCTCGTCGTCTAGCTCAATATCTCTGCCGTAAATGCTAAAAAAAAAGAATATAAATTCGTGAAAATGAATTCATGGTTTTGTTCTATAAAAGGTAGGTATTTCAAGTTGGTTGCAAATCTCTTGATACTCGTTTAGTATTCCATTAAATATGAGTTTCATTGATTCCTACGGCCTATACGATATTTTTTTTTGGAATGAATTTAACAGGTGTGTTTGGCTTAAGGATTCCTCTGCTGTGGATAAGTCTGACGCAATTTTCAACAAATTTCACAACTTATTTTGAAAATTGATCTCTGCGCAATGAAGAAGTTCATGAGCTTTTAAATATGAATTTATAAAAATATTAAATATACTATACATGTGTGTATATGTATAACTATGATTAGCATCGATTAGATATGGTCTGAACTGATTAATCAGCTTCTTAATTCTTTCGAACCATGCCCTCAACCCATATGAAACACATTAGGCATTGTTGTACATATTTAATACTAATTTTATTCAATTTAAAATTACTTTTATGCTTTTTTTTTTGTGTACCATCAATGTTTTCGTTCGTATGTAATTTATTCATGTGTGTGTATTTGGGTATAGGTGTGGGTGTGTTCGGTGTGTGTGTGTGTGTGTGTGTGTGTGTGTGTGTGTGTGTGTGTGTGTGTGTGTGCATGTGTGTGCTACACTCAAAGCGATCTGCTGAGTGAATGCGTGAGTTATTTGCGCTCGGAAATAATTTGGTATCTAAAATGCGACAATGATTTAAAAATTGCTTACAACATTTGTTGGGTCATAGCTCCGCAAAATTCATTTTCGTTCGTTTTCATTTTGTTGTTGTTATTATAATAAATATTTGTATTATTTTGTAATTATGTATTTATTTATAGTTAATGGTTATGGGAAAATGTATATTAAATGCATGTAAATTTCGCTTAATGCTTCCATTTTGTTTTTGTATATATATATTTATATGTTTGTATTGATTTATTTCGATTTTTTTTGTAGTTTTACTTACTGAAATCTTTATATGTACTTATACATGCATATGCAAGTATACATATATATACATATATACTTTTTCTATATATATATATATGTATATACTCATATTTGTAAAGATATTTGAATGCTTTAATTCTTCTATATATTTATTGATCTCTCTGATTTCATATAATAATTTGTTGTTGTTTTGGGTTTCTTTTTGCTTGTGCGTTAAGTTTTCCATGAACTATATGTAGTTGTTTGTAGTTGTGCGGTTATCCCATGAAGCGATCTTTTCATGCGTTTGTTTTGGTTTTTTTTAAATACAGATACATAATTCCATTATGTCTAGACGCGTTCTTTGTTAATGTCACTTATAAATATACAACTTAGTTGAAACATTCAATAATTTATGTTGTAGTTATTAAAAATACATAAAATATGATCTTATGTTAAACTAAATATTTTAAGAAAAAACAATTAGATATACGCATATATATATATTTGTATTCATGATTTCCTTTTCCATTCCTTTCGATTTGCTTCTCGATCTCGCTCGCGATCTCAATGTCTGTCTTCTTCATTCACTGCTTATCAATTATATGTATGTATATTTATTGAATATTTATACTAAAAGCTACACAAGTACATGTTTAACTGAATTTGATTCGCCATTGAAATGCTTAAGTATAATCCATAAATAACTGCGCACTCGTAGATGAAAGAGAGTCGACTGAACTACTTACGACTTGACTACACGTTATATTTGATTTTATTTTGAGATTTTAGTGGTTTTTTTTCTTTTTCGTGTATAATACGTATTATATAACTCTATTGACGAGTACGAAAGTGCGTAAATATACGTCGTATTCCGTTTGGGTATCAAGGATTGGATTTCTGATTTGTATCTGAACTTGGATTGCTTTGATCACGTATCGCGCAACGCCACATGCATAATACTTGTCCACGTATATATAGCTATGCGTGAAATTTATATATATATAGAGATGTATATATATATATATATTGGTACAGTACAAGAGACGGCAGTGTATATAAATTGCCAACAAAAAACATGCACACACTAGCTATATTATGTACTCGCTATGTACTTGCAACGTATGAGCTCAAAATTTGATATCTTCCTTTCGAGTAGGAAGTATCCTTTTTTATTTTATCTTTGGGTATTTTTTTATTTTCTTTTGGTCTTTGGCAACTGGTAATCCCGTATTTTGTTGCCAATTTTGAGCCATATTTTAAATTTTTTTGGTGTTATAAGTAGTTATAGTTGTTGTTATATTTTGAGGGACGGGGCGGCGAGATGCATCGTGTTTGCCGCCCTCTAAACGCGTTTATTTCCATATAAAACTTTGAAATACTTTGAATTTGGTGGGTTAGTATACATATATTTAAAGATATACGTTGCACATCTTTAAAAATGGTTCTTAGCTTGTAATTGTAAACGTTTATCTTTATCTTCGTGTTTTTCTGTCATTTCCTAAATGCGTTTCATTGTTCGGGGATTCAAGAAGTTTTCCGGCGAACCACATGCGACAATCTCATTGTTTGTTTTGCTTATTTTGTGAGCTATTACATACAAATTAAATTATTATAATTACTATTAAGTTTTTGTTTCGCATTTAACATCACTACTAATAATCAAAAAATGGACATTTATAAACTTTATTTAAATATATATATATATATATATCTATATATATATATATATATATATGTATGAATGTATGTATATATATAAATATTAAAAATGTTTTTCTATTTTGTTTGGCTCTTTGCTGCCACAACATAATTTTCTTGTTGATCTGTTAGCCTTTGTGGTGGTTTACAATTGGCCACGAAGTTTGGTTGAACGCATTTTCTGACTTTTGTGAATTTCTGTGTTAAAATATATTAAATTATGCAATGCAACTGATAAATTAATTGGTATCCAAAGTCAATAAACAATATAATTCATCACAGTTTGTTGTTGTTGTTAGTGTTTGTCTTCGGCTGTTGTTTTGGGGAAGGGAAATCGAAAACCTGCACAAAATGTGTTTTATGATTTATGCATTCTTAAGTACTCGCGTCTTACAACAACACATTTCATGGCATTCAAAATGTCTACAGATATTATGACCCATATATCTATAAATATATAGGTACATACCTGCTCAGTTCGTGTATGTGATCTTTAATGCTGTCTAAAAAGCGCTGCATACTTTACGGCGCGGCGGCTTTTGAATTAATTGTCGAGCTGTGTTAAAGTACTTTGTTTTTTTGAGCACTCGTGTACTCGACTGCAACGCGAAAAGTAAACAACCCTTTTGTTTATAAGTTTAATTAATTTTTTTTTGCTTAATTTTTACATGATTTTTAATTGATTTGCAGCGGAAATAAAAACAAAAACATTTAAATATAAATATGTAAAGTAAAACTTTTGGTTACAAACACATTGCAGCGAGTTAAGCAATAATAATAATAATAATAATAATGCACAAATTAGACAGAAATAATAATAATATGTGTCTGTATGCATATAGAGAAACAATTAAATTAATAATTAACATACCATGTGCTGAATTTTATAAAATACTTTTAGTTTTCTGACTATTCTTTAAAATGAAAAAAAAAAGCGAGGAGAAAAATGTTTTAACTGGTTTGCATTTGCTTTCAGAAATGCATTTGAAATGTAAACGCTATGACTTAGTTCTTAAGTTTTCCATGTTGGCGATTGCAGCTCACATGTCACAAATCAAAATTCTAAATATAAATATGTATATATATTATATATAAAAAAAAAATATAAGACAACAAGCGATTCGCAAAGCGTTCTCTGACATTTGCTCAATTTGTCAACAATTTTGTTAAATTTTATCCAAAGAATTTTTTTCTCTGTTTTCGTTCTTCATGTGATAGTTGCTAGTTGCTTAAACTTTTGGTATTTAGCATTAAACGTTTAAACATTTCAATGTACGCTCTAAAGTTTGGTTTATGCTTTCGTTAACCACGCACATTGGTCCAATTTCTTGCTTTGGGCTTTAGCTCACGTTGATGCAACTCGCATTTTTGTTGCACTTTCTAAATGTTTTTCTTTTTCATATATATTCAAATATATTTTATGGGTTAGCTTTGTTCTGTTTTGGTATTTGGTTTTTGAACTTAGTTAACCTTTACGTACGCGTAACTAAAAACATACATTTATATATATATATGTATATATATATATATATATATATATATATATGTATATTTTATATGCAATAAGAAACTAACATTAAATTTACTTTCTTTGCGTTTCGGTTCGCTATAATTTTTTGTTGCTGTTTTTCATTTACTTTCATTTCGCTTTTTTTTATTACTTTTTGTTTATGTTTTGGTGCATTTTATAACCTCGTTCGTTTTGCATTGTTGCAACAGCTTATTCCAAACGCGCCTTGTAGGTGGTCTTCCAGATCTCGGCAAGTGTGACAGCGCTGTGGAAACGGTGGAAAATGCACAGGGGCAGTGTTATGCGCTGTATGATGGACCAGGGCACAAAGCCATAGAACTCCAGTTGCACCTGTGTTGGTTTTGTTCACAAGAAAGTTACATTAATTAGTTAGCAGATAGTTAGTTAGAGCATAGACTATTCCCAATAACAGCATGCATCAAAGTCAATAGCTATTTAATAATTTAAAGAAAATGAAAAATATTCGCCATTTTCCTAGATGAAGTAAATCTATTCATCATCGGAAAGGGAATAATATCGTATATTGATGTCGATTGACAAAAGATTTAAACATGCATTCGAATCAGAGCTGCGAATTACTAGATAATACAGTCTGTATTTAATTTAAACCTTTAATTCCTTTAAATATTTGAATTCTTTTATTATTATTGCTCCAGCTGGAAGTTATTATAGCTCGGCAATTATAATTGTATGCAAATCGTAATTACAACGACTCTGATATGAATTTAATTACAACTAGGACACGTTTTCTTAAGTCTCTGTCAAAGTTATTAATACAAATTTTTATCAGGGCTGCAAGAACAGAGAAAAAATGGTCTGTATACAAAGTTTATGCTTCGATTCGACATTTTTTTTCCTCAACTAGTGAATGTTTAGTTTCGTTTCATGGAGAAAAGTAATTTGCAATTTAGGGTTTGAGCCGGCATGGTTTAAACCCGACATGCAAACCTGGTTATTATCAAATTTAACAGCTTCACAGCCGACATGGACCTTAACAGAAACATAAAAAGACGCGCCCACACATACATATATACAATATATATTGATGGTTATACGAAATCGAATAACAAATAACGAATAGAACGAGTAGAACAAACGAGAACGTTAATCGTCTTACTTAACTCAGTCTCGCTTACGTACATATCTACTTACAGGATTGGCGAATACTTTTTGAGCTTCGAATGTGTAGATGGCGAACATGGCCACATTACAGATGAGTAGGAAGGTGACAATCTGGCGGCCGGGCTTGCTGCGATCATGCTCCGGCAAGTGGACGCGACGGCGCGATACATCGGCTATGAAGAGCAGCTGCAAAATGACCTGGAAGACGGCAACGCCGCCCGTGGTCGTTACCAGGAGGCTGGGCTCGCTCTCCAGCACCTTGATGCTGCCGGCAATGATGCTGAACACGGAATAGGTGAACAGGCCAAAGGCAGAGATGCGCAGCAAAATGTCATTTAGATTCGATTGCTCCTCGCAGCGGAATTTCAAGTTCTTGACCCTGTCAGATATTTAAAAAATGAATCGGAAACGGTTTAGTATATATAAATATGATGTGGATGGCAAATGAACGTTTGATTGCTGAGAACGCACCTGATAAAACCGATAATTATAGCGAGTATGGCAAAAGCCATTAGAATGCAGTGGCTGGCATCGGCCAGGTAAATGGCCAACAGCGAGAACTGCTGATGACGCACCAAGACGAAGAAGAGTATCAAGCAAATCAGCGCGCCAACCAACAGCAACAGACCAAAGAACAGACCCTTTGACGAGCCAACGCAGTCGACGCGACCGGAACGTGCCTGCTGCGCCATGGCAACGGCTCGACGGGACAACATCACCTCGAGCCTATGCTCCAGATCCTCGTCGTTCAGCCTGCCCGGATAGCGACCGATGTGCTTCCACATGACATACAAAACCACAGCGCCAATCAGTGAATACTCAATGATAAACGGATACAGATACGGCGCCGAGTCATAGACGATAGTGCCCATTATGTCAATGCGTCCACAGGCGGTGGAGTTGAGTGTGCCAATGTTGGAAGACAACGCCGCCGGATAAATGTTGTCCAGGCTCTCCAGATTCTCGAAGGCGATCAGGCCGTTCGGCTCATCATGCGATATATCCGAATACGTTTGGAAGCTAGTCTCCATGCCGGGGCCAAACAGATTGTTCATAATATTCACGGCACTCTCGGTGCTGCTGGGGCTGACGCTTGTGCTGGGCGTGGACGTAACCAGATTGTTAAAGAATGCGGAGACGCCGGAGGTTGCGGTGCCCTCGGCAGCAGCGGGCAACGTTGACCCGGCCACATCGACAGGCGTCAGGCTCGGAGCAGCGCTTGAGAGGATGCGCTCCAGGCTATTGAAGGGCGTTTCACTGGTCGTGCTAATGACGTCGGCGGCCGTTGCAGCGCTGCCAAATGGAATGCTAGTGGTTGATGTGGTGCTGGTGGTGGTGCTGGTTGTGCTGCTGCTGCTGCCACCCACAGTGCTGGTGGCAGCGGTGGTGCTTGTGATAAACTTCTTCAGCTTGCGAGCCATAGTAGTGCTGTGCCATTGATAGCCAGGCGTTGTATATGGCGCCCTTGTCGTGCTGGTCGTGGTGGTGGTGCTGCTGGTGGTGCTGCTAATGCCGCCACCCATGCCCAGGCTCTTCGAGATGCCATCGACGGTGTTGCGCACCAGCTTGGACAGCACATTGTCGCTCTTGTACACGTTCTTCGGCAGCACATCCTCACCGTCCAGCACCTCGAACTCGCTGTTGGGACCAGAATGGGTTCTTAGCACGGTACCGGCATGACGCAGCGCGTGCTGCCTGATCGAATGGGCAATGGACGAGGCATCGGGGTCGGCTTCGCGCTTCTGGTGATAGATCGTGATCTCCAGCAGCGACTCCTTAACCAGGGTGCGTATCCACACACAGATATTGGTGGCCACCACATGCATCAGGCCGAACCGGGCAATCACCTTGAAGCGATGTATGTTGAGCTGCAAGCGATGCGCATTGAGAGACAACGATCAGGAAATATAAAGCGAGGTGGGTGTGGGTGGGATTTGGCGGGGGGAGAGAGAAAGTAATGCGCAGGCGCAAACTTTAGTACGGAAACAGGAAACGCGTTTACATATATAGTTTGTAGATACGTGTGTATATATTTACAAAAATACGCAAATAAGTGCTTGAAAAGAAAAAAGTGAAAATGAACTTCGCCGCTCAGACGAAGTTTCAACACTCTTGCATATACCCCATATAACTTTTGATAAAGCAAGCTTCCCTTGTTTTCGACCGATTGTTTCTATATAATCTATTTTGTGAGGTATCGTATGTAAGAGGAGTAGTAAAGATCACATTTGCTGGGTTTGGTGAGGATATCTTGCAAGAAAGAGAAAAGTTTTTCATACAAGCATTTGAATAGTTGACCAATTGTTCCTATGACAGCTATATGATATAGTGATCTGAACCGGAGTTCAAACAAATAAAATAATCTTAGCAAAATCCCGTTTTTAAAATAATGAGATAGTAGCAAGCATAGAAAGAGATAGATGACTATAAAGAAGCGAAAGTTCTTGCAGTTCTATGTATATATATCCTATTAAGCGAACACCCGTCTTGGTCCGACATTTTCTCCCAACTTGATGGCCGCTGTGCGCCCAAGAGAGTTTTCACTGTACTTTGTGGGCATATTTCACGACAAAATTATAATTCCTTATGCAAGGCTATTCAAATCGGATACATACTAAAATGATTCAACTAAGAACGAACTGGAATACCGTGCAAGAGTATTATAAGTCCCACTTCCGATACCCCTTAATATATAAGTATATATACGAATATGTTTAAATAGTTTATATTAAGCTTAAGCTAATGATATATTTATTATAATATCACACATACATATATCTGAAACGTGTGAGAGAAATGAGCGTAGGGTAGAGAGTAGAGTAGAGTAGAGTAGTAGAGTAGAGTTAGAAAATGATTTGTATATCGTACCTGAAATGGTGGCCTAGTCTGCGATCGCGAATGGGGCAGAGTTGTGGGGATTATGTACACAAAAATGGTTCATTAAAAAAACTAAGTACTTAGCACAATTTCGAAATTTGTTTTAAAAATATAATGATGATGACATGAGTTTGGGTTGAATAATGAATGAATGCTTAATGAATGCGTGTGTACGTGTACGTTCTGTGAATGTGAATCATGTGAATCTAAGCTGCTAAACATGTAACCTTCTATCTAGCTAAACACTGGATTTGGCTTTGGTCTGAATGAGCTATTCGACTTTGTGCCGAATGTGAGCATAATGTGCCGATAAAATGCGAATGAATGAATGCGCTTCAGAACTCATTTCCGAGCGCAAACACTCATACTTTATTCAGTTTCTATGGCAATGTTGCATTGTTGCATGAATGAAATGAAGCAAAGCGAAAACAAATAAAGGAAAATTACAGATGATGATGAATGTTGATGTACTTAAGAATGAATCAATGCAAATGAATGCGAATGAATGCGCGAATCAATTATAATGAACTAAACTGAACTAACAGCCAATTAACACGCCAATTCGAACGAGCGTCACAGACGTAAACAATAGGGAAAGTAAGAGACAGAGAGAGAGAATGAGAAAGAGAGTAATAGAGGTGGAGAGAGAGTGAGAGAGAGACAGAGAGAGGAGAGAGTGACCGAACCGAGCCTGTACTGTTGTGATGTGATCGTGACTAGAGCATGGATATGGCACACGATTGTCGTTAGGAATATCGTCAAAGCCTCAATCATAGACGGAATTTTGAGATTTCATAATATTCAAAATGAGTCTTTTACGATTTCCAGCAACACAATTGCCTACCCTTCTCCATTCCATGGCCAGCGAGTATATCGTAAGCTTAAACTTAAAACTAACCTCAATTAGACTGTTGAAGGACTGGGACTCTGTTGTCTTTCTGTTAAGTTGTATTTAATTTTCTGTGTGTACTCGTGATTGTCAACATACAGTAGTTTAAGTAGTAGTATTAGATAATAGCAGGTAGTAGTATATTGTATTTAGTAGTAGGTAGTAATAGGTTACAGTGTTTTTTTTTTCAGACAGAAAGTTGGGTTGAGGGTCAACGCCGATTGCGGACTGAATTGACTTACCCGTGCATTCATGAATATAAAGTACATCTGCATGAAGGTGAAGATCATCTGCAGCAACGGATTAACGCCAATCAAAATATGATGGCAGGGCGAATCGAATGGTATCTCAAAGAACGAACCGAATTCCAGGCCAATATAGATCATTGCACCAAGTCCAAATGCTAAGAGGCATTAAAGAAAACCAGATTGTGGAAAAGTACATGCGCGATCATTATTCAGTTAGCAATACTATATAGATAAAATTAATGCATAAATCTGATGTTTTACCGATGGCACCAACGCGCAGAAAGAAACTTCCATGCGTGGGATCGCTGTGCGTGGTCTTTCGCTTGCGCACGTTCTTCGGGGTGACGGCCACCTCGGCATCCACGGGTGCTTCCTGTGCATGTAAAACAAAAAAGAAACACATTTACATTTCGCTTTGGGGTCATATAGCATGATAAATATTATAAATGTACATATATGAATTGGCGAATGATGTGCTCGTCACTGAATCAGCGCTTGGCAAAAATTCATACGGCCACCTTAATTGGCGTGGCCTTATCACTTGGCATATGTCGTCACTTAATTAACGGCGAACTGTTAATGTGCCCCCATTGAAAGGTGGCATCTATTGTTATGTGGCATGTTCAGCCAGCCGGCCACTAATGCCGCCCGCCCAACAACCCTGGCACAAATCAAAACTAAATTTGCTTTGATCAATTTGAAAAAGAACTAATTTTTAGAAAGGAGAAATACTCTTAGGAGAACTTCTCAAAAGCGTTCAGAAAGAAGCAGCAAAAAGTAGAAAAAGAGATCGTAAAGAGAAAAGCATGAAATCAGTAGACACCGGTCTTTCCGGCTATACTTTTCTAATTTCATTCATATTTAAATGTAAAAAAAAGAGAAGCAATTAGAGAAGTATGACTAAATTTGCCTTGAAAGATTTGGAAAAGAATTCAATTTTAGGTATGAAAATACTTCAGAATACTTTAAAGAGAACTGCTCAAATGCCGCTAACTTCAAAACACAGAGAAGCAATTAGGGAAGCATGACTTAATTTGCCGCGAGAAGCGTTCAGAAAGAAGAAGCAATAAGCAATGTAAGTTGCATGTAAAATATCGCTAGAAACGAGCAATAAACAGGTAGGCACTAGTCACGTTTAAATGTTTTATTAAATTACTAAAGAGATGGAAGAAGAAATTAAAAAGCTTCTTGCGATTAGACTCTAACTCAGAGTGCCGCGGACTGATGACGATTTTCTATGTAATTATATTTTTTAGAATATGGCGCAGTTGTTGCAAGCATTTCACGAACCTGATATGCGGCGCCTTTGACAGCTTTTCCAGAGTCCTTAGAGCCTTTCGCATCCTTCGAATCGGCAGGATCTGCATTCTTTGTTTTCTTCGATTTCTTCTCTTTGATCTGTGGTTTCGGTTTGCTGCCGCCATTGCCGCCATTACAGCAAGAGCTCTCTGCGAATGGAAGATGCAAGCACTCACATAAAGAACAACAACCTGGCCTCTGGCTGTGTGAAGCTTACCCTGCAGCAAAAAACAAAAGACATACAACAGGAAGAGTATGCTGGTGCCGTATAGGTATGTGAAGAACGTCTCATAGTAGAGCACCGGCAGTCGGTGTGTGGTCACATCGCTGATTACATATGCAATGCATACTACAATCAAGAGAATCGCATAAACCAGGCTGGTTACAATGAAGAGCGATGTCCTGTGAAATCAAATGTCAAAAAAAGACACGTAAAATTAAAATTTATTTTGCCGAAATAAAGAAATGCTCAATTCCTACAAGTGAATGTGTGGGTGTGAGTGTGTGTGTTGCACAATACGTGTACATGACCCAGTCCTAAATCGAACATCACATAAGTGAGTGTCTGAGTGTGTGAGTGTGTGTGTGTGTGTGAGTGTGTGAGTGTGTGTGCGAGTGTGTGTTGGTTAGTGGTTTCCCTAGTGTCAGTGGCAATTACCTATTTTACTAATACTTAACAAGGCTCTATAATTGGTATCATTCACTGTGCTAGTATTTGTGTATCTGTGTGTGTTTGTGTGTTTCTCATGCATCTTAAGAGCAGCGCTTGACTGCTCGAAGTGCACCCACATGCATACCTAATTAGCTATCATCAGACACCCAACTGTCCCAATGGCAACTGGTCGGCTCTCGATATTCGATGCCAATCAATGCCCTTAACGAGCTACTTAGGCATCAAAGTACGCACAGTGGGATGATATTCAGAAATACTTTTGCAAATTTCATATGTTACAAATCAAATATCACATTTGATAGAAAAGAGTTGAACTTCACTCAGGATTGTTGAAGCTTCAACTAAACATTTCTCGAAATTATAACTTTGTAAAAGCATTTTTAATTTTAAGCAGAAACTAGAAATTATCTGAACTAATATCTTCTGAGTAGATTTGTATTTTAGTTAAGATCTCTCTTTATATGTTCTTTTGCAGAAACTGAAGATTTTTCCAACTGAAACTTCGGATAGGATTTGTTTCCATTTAAGACCTCTTTCAATTTATTTTTCTGATATTGTAGCATAATTAATTTATTTTAGAAACCGAAAATTTCTAGTACTGAGAACTTCGAAGTAGATTTCTTTGCGTGCTAAGATCTCTTTCAATATACTTTTCTAATGTACTAGCATAATTATTTTTTACAGAAATTAGAAATTTCCTGAACTGATCAGATTCTCATTAAATTTCTATTCGAGTTAAGATATCTCTTTATATGTTTCCTTATGTGATAATATATTTAATTTTTTGTAGAATCTAGTAAACAGGAAATTTCGAAGATGAATTGTTTTCAACCTCTTTCATTATTTTTGCTATTGTTGAATTCAAATTAATTCGATTTTTATTAACTAGAAATTTCTCGAAGTTAAGATCTCGTTCAGTATATTATTTGTAGTAGTTTTAAGCAGAAGCTAGAATTGCTATCTGCGGAGAAGATTTATTTTCGAGCTTAGATGTCTTTCATTTTTGAAGTAATTGATGCGATTGTTATTTTTTGCATATATACATATGTGCAAGCCCTTTTTGGCCCACTGTACTTTTTGTTGCATGCAACTCATTTGCACTATTTGACCCAGTTAGAAACATTAACGCTGCTTAGATCCTTATCCCGCCCACTGGCAGCACTCAAATCAACCATTTGTATATGTATTTGGGCTGCTGTGTGTAAGCCGCACACACACATACAGCCTCATTTCCACAGAGGAACACAGATATCGTGTTGACTGAAACTGTCTGATTGGAATTTGACAATGTTGAGGACTTCGCTAGAAGCGTTATACCAAAAATTATAATAGAAAACAGAAAGTAAAATAAGCAATTCTCATATATTTATATCGCTCCCATATAACTGAGTGTACGCTGGGGCGGCAGGGGGTTGGTAATGGGCAAGTTAGGAAGCGGAATATTTGATGGTTGCATTTTGTATATTACCATAGTTCGATTGGTCCCGTTATCGGATTTGTTTGATATGTGCCCTGGACCGTTATTTTCGCTGGCATAAAACTGTGCTTATTTGGATTTGGCTTGAACGTGTAGCAAACCCTATAAGACGACAATCGGCAATTGACAATTCAGAAAGCATTCGTTAAAATAGTCAACAAACGAGTATTACGAATATATTCGGAATATAAGGTGGAATCATATTGGAGGATTTCAATTTCAATTTCGGTACCTTGGCGTTGCAATTGTAATATGTTAGTTAGTACTGCTATTAACTAAGTTGTGGAATGTGGAATACATAGAAGCTTTCGTAGTATATACAGCTTAGCTTACTACTACATACACATACAGACATATGTATATATATACATATATATATATACATATACACTGGAGTTTTTGGGTTTAAGCGTGTGTATCTAGCTGTTATACGAGGTATATGTATGCATGTTGTTTGTATCTGTGTGTGTGCGTGTGTGTGTGTACATGACTGAGGGCCTGGCACTTTTGGCGGCCTTGAGAAGCACACAGTGCCCACCCACTTTTGAGAGCTACCCCGCTCCCCCACACTCCACGTCCCTTGAAACGCTCTCTTGTTTGTCTTTATCATTCTCTCGCACACACATACTCTCTCTCTCTCTCACTCAATCTTTCTCGCACTCGCTCTCTTTCTCTCTCTCTCACTCCGTCTCTGTCTCTGTCTCTTTCTCATCAGGCAGCGAACCTTTGTAACGGCTGTGGCATTACATTCTTCAGCTCCATTTCCTTGTTGGCCGCATTGTTCTTCTCGGCGCTGTCGGTGCTGCCGGCGGTATGGGAGCGGGATACCGGCAGAGTTGCCATATTGTCGCCGCCCTCCACATCGACGGTAGCGACCTTCACTTCACCGCCGCCCATTGTCTCTGATTCCGTCTCGGTCTCCGTTGTGCTGGCTGATGATCCTTTCTGCTTGCACTTAGTTAATATCGATACCGATATCGATACCGATTTTGTATGGGTTTTTTTTGTTTTTGTTTTCTTTTTGCTTGTCTTTTATCACTTGCTACACTTTACTATTTACGGCTGTTATTTGGCTGTGACGTGAAATATTATTGAAACAATTTGCAGCTGGTATTGCAGGCGACGCACAAAAATATGCAACATTTTGTTGTTTGTTTCTCTCGCTCCACAACGGATCTCTGTCTGTGTGTGTGTGTGTGGGTGTGTATGTTATGCTCTTTGGCATTTTGTGGAACGCATTTGAAATGCATTTGGCAAATGGGCAACTGAGGCGTGGCCAAAATGCGCGAGCCTTGCTCAAAAACTTAAGCCGCACTTGATGCGTTAATGTGGCTGCTGTTGCTGTTACTGTTGTTGTTGCTGCTGCTGCTGCTTTGGAATGCGTCCTGGAGCGACCTAGTGACCTCTCTTCCACGCAGCCAGCGCAAGTAAACAACTCCAGCCAGCGAATTCAACCCTCGCTCACGCATTCCGCTGCGAGAGGGGAAACACAAAAAGTGCGTGAGATTAACTTAGACTGCGTGTGTGTGTGTATGCGCTGCACAGTTATGTATAAATACATGAAATACATGTACATACATATATTTATGTACATATTGCACACAGCTTAATTTTAGCTGGAGCTGAAGCTGTGGCTGGAGCTCGAAGCACTTGAGAGTAAATTTGCGCACTCTCTCACACAGCGAGGTGCTGTTTATGCTGTGTAATATGCTAGACTATATGAGCGAGTGTGTGTGTGTGTGTGTGTATGCGTGTGTGTATAGCTGCCCGGTGCTATCAAAACCAGGAGAGACATTCAATAGCAAAATCTTTAGCGCGCCCAAGACAGCAAATTGTTTCACAAGAATTTTGCAAAAGCAGCAAAAGATTCAAATTTTCATTTACGAAACACTTTGAACTTATTAAAGTTATATTTATAGCTGAGCTGTTCTCACATAACTGTTTGATTAGCGATTAGCTCTTCGGTGCATCACTTTTCAAGATTTAACTTTTGGCACTTTTGTCACTGGCACCAGCTTTTGCACAGCTTAATCAAAAAATAAATTCAAAAAAATAAATGTATATGCATTTCTATGGGCTGACTGATTGCTGGAATTGTTGGGCTTTCACTCTGTAACTCTGACTGACTGACTGGCTGGCTGTGTGTGCCTTAGGCTACCTTGCGAACGCTGCATAGAACACGTCCAGGACCCTTTACTATCCAACTACAACTGAAAAGGCTCGTCTCGGGCCAAGTTTCTGTGCGTTTTGTGTGTGTTCCTCTGCAGCAGCCGCCCCTGTGCGCCGAATCTCTGTGTGTTCGTTCGCCTCTCCGTGGCCGTGTAATTGTGTACTCACTATCTCCATCCTTTTCTCTGCAGCAGCTGTCCTGCTCGCTCTGACTGCAGCGAGCGCTCTCTTTGTAGGATGCTGCCGCTGCTGCGGCATTGCATGGCCAGGATGCTGACTGCTGTGGAAGCCTTTTGCGACGCGTAGGGGAAACGAAGCGCTGTATGCCAGAAAGTAGGACACATTCTGTGTGGGTTTTGTGCGTTTCTTTTTTATTTTTTGCCCTTTTACCTCATGGCTTTTTGCATTTCTGTCCCTTTCCTGCATGCCCATTTATAGCGGGCTTTATTTGCATAAAGCGTTGAATTTCGTTTTTCCTCTCTTTATGTTTCTCTTTTTATTATGTTTTTTTTCATCTTTTTTTTTTGAATTTGATTGGAATGTTAATGACTTGTTTGGCTATGATTTCAGTAAGCCTCGGATCTCCACTTGCCCAGCCAGAGCCCTGAAAAGCGTTTTAGTTCCGTTTACATTTCGGATTTGCCATTTGAGCGTAGGAGTGGCTGGTGCGGCTCGTGGCTCTTGGCTTGGTGGCTTATTCCTCTGGCTTCATTGCACTCTCATTGCCATTTGCCCTGTTGGTTCATTGAAATTATGAATTGAAGACTCGGGCTTGCAGATGCGCGGCCTGCTATCTATGCCTATTATACCTAAACATATTTTCTCTTGCCAATATAATCTTTCTATAGCAAAGCTTAACACATTATTTCCTAATTTTTCGACACATCAAATACATTCGATTTATTTTTGAGAATCTTCTTATATATCTTGGAAGACCAAAAAAAGTTGTTGACAAGTTTTGTCTTGTTTTTTTCTTCTTGAGACTCCAGATTAAAAAAAAAAAAACATGCGCTCAGAAAGGGGGTCAGTTGAGCTGGGAATGCAAAACGTATTTCATTTTCCCAGCGACCAGGGTGAGTCCCACCCCCGACGGGCTGGTTGTGCAGCTTCAAAGTGCAGCCCAGAAAACACAAGCCGCGGCATTCGCATCAGAAAATCATGGGAAAAAGGGCCAGTTGTCAGTTAACCGAAAGCAACAGCCCAAAACTCAATTACTCAATGGCCGACTGTGTGTGTTGTGTCTGCCTTTGTGTGTTGTGTCTATCTCTGTGTGTGTGTGTGTCTGTGTGTATCGTGAAAAGTAAGCACAGTGGTTGAGATAGTGTAAAAGTAAGTGAAATCTTATTGAAAAGTGTACGATATTTGCTGAACTAATTATTGGCTAAATGAAACAAAATTTATTGTGAAAGGTATGTCTTCTATTTAAAAATATCTTCTAGAAACAAAATTAACAAAATTCTTTTTGAAGGAAAATAACGTCTATTAACTTCACTAAAATAAAAGCCTTTAATCTGCTTCCATGAATTAAAGACCCTGATTCTTAGCTTTATTTTAAGCGGCATTTCAAAAGTTGTTTTATACATAATTTTTTCTCTATTTTGCGCTAAAAAAATCACATTTCTAGATTGTTTACAGCTAGTGTCTTGATATACAGTCCGAGCCATAGGAAAAATAGTGAACGCTATTCAAAAAGTTAGTTCGGTCGTTTGTTTATTGGCTTTAAACACACTTTCAAAGACCTTTCACAATAATATTTTTAAATGCACAAAAACACATTTTGTGAATGGAGTATAAAAATAAAAATTAAAATGACATCTACGCAATTTGTCGAAAAATGGGCGGAAAACAAAGATACTGAACTATTTTGTTATGTTTCTTGAAAATTGAAAAGTTTTGTCTAAAATCCGACTTAAATTAATGTACATATATAGTTGTGCAAGCAGTTCCCTGCCTTAATTGTGTATTCATTATTTGCATGCTTTGCTCCACTGTGCGTTTACGATAAAAGCGGCAGCGACGCCGCCGTCAACGTTGCTGCAGCGCATCTAATTCAGTTCCTTTCGCAGTCCATTTTATATCGTAAGTATTGGTCGGGCGGTCGCTTCGCACGCGCCTGTTGTGTGTGTGTGTGTGTGTGTTTTGCGTAGTTTTGTTTTGTGCGCGTTTCACAACAACCAACAATCGCATTCTGTTTTGCTTGTCCATTCGGCATACAAAGCCGGCAGGACCTGCTCGTGGGGTGTACGTAAGTGTGCATGTGAGTGTGCGTCTATCAATAAGCCGAGTCCGTTTGCTGCAGGGTACGTTGCCCGGAATGGGGTTGCATTTGGCCAAAGGCAGAAAAGGATTTGCGTCGCGTCGCGAGCTGCCAACAACTGCGTCGCAGTGCACTGAATGACATGTTGAAGAGGGGGGTCAGGGGTGAGGGGATTGTCAAGTGGGAACGAGAAAAAAACCACACACAATCCGACAACCGCACCAAGAGTCAGCCAAAAGTATAAGCCAATAAAAAATGGGGCACAGTTGGCAAGCACTAAAAGCCCAGAGCAAACAGAAGTTAACTGATAGTAATACATAGATGGGCCATAGCTTTGGATTCATCGGGGTGGTTGAAACACTTGACTGTTTAAGTATATATGTATATATCCATTTATATATATATATATATATATATATTTAATAATAATACTATGTCGGTATTAGATTCTTTTGGTACAGTTGAATCAAGTTTCTTGAAACGAGCCCGTTCGAGATCGGAACTCAAATTAACTTTTATCTTGCTTAAAACCTGTTGCCCAAAAAACTGTAACCCGAACCAAATCAATTTTTCTCTAAAAATAGTTATTTTTAAAGTAAAAAACTTCTGAATGAGAGCCAACCCCAATGCTTAACTAAAGCTGATTGAAAATATTTCATTTCTCTAAGTTTTAATTCGTAGCGTTTCCCAAACAAGATTCAATCCAAGGATGTTCCTAAAGCATATTACTTTTGTTTTATTTATTTAAATATATCTGCGGGCGAGGTTAGCAACGTGTATTACGCAAAGCTTGTATTTTTAGCTCAATTTAATGACCGGCAGCAGGAAACAAGGACTAGGGTGGATTCTGAGGACTGTTCGGCGCTGTTATTTATAGATCCTTGTTTTTGCCACCCTATTACCAAGGTGCTTAGGCTTAAAAGTTATCCGTGACCATCGCGAGTTTAGTTCTATTTAAAAAAATATGAAATACAAAAAGTGAGTTGCTTTATGGCAAAAGCCTTGCTTAATTGACGGTGGCAATCATTAACCTTGTGCGCATTTATCTAATCATGCGTCGCATTTGCCGAGGGGTTGAGCATCTACAAATAGGTATTCGACTAATAGAGAAGAGGACAAGGTTGGGGCGAAATCAAATCGATAAATTGACGCCAATATTAGAGGTGTGCTGAGATAGTCAGAGCAAGCGTTATCGACTATTGTTAATCAATATTGCACAGAAATTGAAGAAGTGGCAACTTAACAACAGATCGATAAATATACGCCAATATTTAAGTATCGATAACAAACAATTATAATTTAAGAGATGGTGTAAGTGCTGCAGGGTTCAGGGTACTGAGCGTATACTTAGCGTGCACTTAATGAAGGGCAGTATTAGAGGGGAGAATTTAAGTATTGATAGAAATCGATCAAATGTTATCGATATTGAAACAGTTAAGGGAAGTGTTATCGTCTAAAGGTAATCTGTATCGCTATGAAATGCAGAGAAATCGCAGGAGCTGGATAAATGGTAAAGTACAGCAATATCAAAACTTAACAAAGCGTCGATAAATATGCACCAATTTTAGTGGTAACCAATTAATTTATCGATAATTAGAAAGGTTAAAGCAATGTCTAACAGCAGCGTATATTTCAAGCTATACTTAGCGTATGCTTAATAAATGAATACCGATATTAGAGGTAAGAGTTAAAGTATCAATTTAAATCGATAAAATTTAAAAGACATTGTAACAGCGGGAGGATGAGTAAGTCCCTTGTACTACAACTGACAGCTTGGCTGACAGTTTAACAGCTTGTTTCCGCCTGCTGTATAGCAAGCATCGATAGTTTTATTCGACTTGTCGCAAGTCTTGTTGTCTATTTTGTGTGCTGCATGTGAATGTAGGTTCGTGCAATGACACCTATCACTGAGGCATGAACAGAGGCAAGAAGATGAAGCAAGTCAAAGAGAGAGAGAGGGGCTGCCAAAGAGTTTACCAACCTAGTCAGCACTGGAGCAAAGATCTTGGCAAATGCCTCGCCGACAGCTTAGGCCCAGGGTTTGCTTGTATGGGTTCGTCGGCTATTGGCGGGGCTTTGGCGGGTTTTGGCGGGTTTTTGGTGGCCTGCCTGCTGCCTGCTGGCAGTTGTCATGTTGTGTAATTTGTTTGCAACATCTTCAACTTACATGCTACCCGCCATTGTGTTGCGTATTATATATACATATATATAGTTTTTCTATTCAAAGCGCTGTCTATTTGTTTCATGTGAGTGGGAGAGAGAGAGTTTGGAAGAGAAAGGAGAGTGAGTTTGAAAGAGAGAGAGAGAGAGATTTGCAGATGAAAATGCATGCTGCTTAACAATGCCGGCATAATCGGAAATGTAAGGCAATGTGCCTGTTGTGTGGCATGAGTTCATTGACATTATAATCTGTCGTGTTGATGACAGACAACAATCCAGCCATGATATTTGGCAACTTCGCCAGTAGAGGCTGGCTGTGTTTATGCGGCATCATTAAGTACTACATAATACATTAGGAATATATCTAGTGATTAGCTGGGTTTCCAGTGTTAGTCCATGTGCTTACTATGGGTTCTACGCTAAAGCACAATGCAGTGAAGTCAACAATTGTGATCATAGTTTATAACTAAGTGTGGGCAAAGCAAATAAAAAATGTAGATTTGGCAAAGAGATCGAGTTTGGGTTAGGATTTATTAGAAGAGGATAGTAGGAAACTAAAAGTAGTTTAGTGGTAAGTTATTAATTATCTTATGGATATATATTATTATATATCGAACATTTATGAGTTTTTTTCGAATTGAGTATATCAAATCTGACCTTTTCTGTGGTTTCGTCAGAACCTGGGGATGATTACCGCTGCAAAGGATTCTTGCGTATTAGTTCAATGATTGTTTTTTTTTTTTAAGCTACAAGTACTTAAAATACATATACTATAAACAAAAAGCAACTGTGGTATCAATGATAATCCGCAGCTAAGAAGGGACTACGCTGCCTGTGACATGATGGTCGGGTCATATTTAGATGAGAAATAAAAATCACATAAGCTGTATAAAATACAAGCAGCTTTAGCAGTGATATAATGGGCTGCATGATATATCTTATTAAGAGGGTATGGAGAGCATGAAGTATGTATGTTTATGATGTTATTGGTTATAATGGACAACGCATAGAACGAAACACATTTAGAACGGAGTTAGGGTGTAAGATATATTGCATATTTGTATTATACTTATATAAATATAATGCCTGAATGGAACACACTTACTTGGCATTTTTTGGTCGTCGTGCATCGATCGGAAAGTCATCATCGAAATCCAAGTTGAAATCCTCGCCCAGATCATGCGGCACTAGCGGCGTCCTCTGGTGAGCGGGACTCGTGTGATATCCATCGCCCTGTATCTTTAGTTCAGTTGTGATCGAATGTGAAAATTGGAAGATTAGTTCCCTGAACCTCAAATCAGATATTTAGAGTCACAACAATAAATTGGAATTTTGTATGTACAGCAATATAACAAAAACACAGGTATGATGTCAGCATGGGCTGGCATCATTCACAATGGCATTGCGCTAGTGTAATCACACAGGCTTTAATTGTGAATGACGCGCGCGTTAAGATCGTTAGATAATTATTTAAATAGAGTGCATGCATTTCCATGTCGCATATTAAAGGAAAAACAATTGATAAACAATTCCAATTTATTGCCAGTAAACGATAACAAAAAAAAATGGTATTTCATAATTTGTATATTATTTTCGAACTCAAAGTAAAGGGCGAATCGTTCCGTTACTCGTGCAAGGATTTGGTTTTTTTTTATATTATTTTTTTTTTGGCTTTAGGCGTGTCACATTTTGGAGTTTGTTTGCTTTGATTCATATCGAGCTGTCGGGCGATCATGATCAATCAATCAATCTGTCGAATCAATCAATCGAGAGGTATTTAATTTCACATGGTTAACTGAACTTTTCTATAATTGGAAAGCTTAAACAATAACGGATTAATGTAAACATTTTCTATATATAGAACACAACTAAAATGCCATCATCAATATTACATCATAATATAGGTATATCAATATTTATATTCATATATGCGGGTAATTAAGTTTTTATATTTGAAACTCATATGCAATATTTACAAGCAAGTCGTTTAGATGTTTGCCAAATGGCTGAGGTATTTGTACAGTTCTTCGAATGTCATTCATTTGTACAAATATATGAGTTGTGAGTGTGATTGTGACTGTGACTATGACTGTGAGAGTTTGTTAGTGTATTATGAGCGACATATTGCATATGATTTGAATCCTTGTTACGAGTACATCCAACAGCCCCTACCTTGACCACGGTGCCGACCTGATTCGACTCGGTTGCCGACTGGCGATTGTCCAGCAAATTGGCACGCTCCATACTCTCCAGCTGCAGTGTTTCCCTTGGCTGATCCAATAGACGTTCGCGCATCTCATGTAGATAGGGACAACGCTGCATTCCTCACTCTCCGCGCCCGCTTCGAACAGCTAATGAAATCCCTGCAAGCCTGGTTTGCGGTCACTTCTTGTTACTTTTTAGTTGCTTCTTTGTCAATGGATTTGAAAGCTAGCTACTTTAATGCCAAGCCCAATACTAAATATAGTAAATGATTTGATATTCCCGCATATATGTACGCTTAGGCTGGTTTTTGTTTATGGTATTGATAGGTATAAAGTTAGTTAGGAGGTATATTTTATATGTTCAGAAAAATCAGTCATTCGGTTTGCAGCAGTTTAGTTTTAAGACTTTTAGTTAGCAAATTGGTCGTTCTGGAATGAGAAATGATATTAAACGTATTATAAACAATGCATGAATATTCGGATATTTTTGAATATCTTTTCTTAAATACTATATAAAAATGTCTGCCCTTGAATCGAACAAGTGGAAATTCCATTGGCAAAAAGCACGCACAATCTTCTAGCCATATGTAGAAGCAAGCATGTCAGGGGCACAGCATGGGAATGGGTGTTGGGTGGCGGAGGGTGGGGATAGATTGGCAACATTGCCATGCTTGATGGACAGCTGACTGGCTGGCTTGCTGTCGTTATTATTTTGTTTTTTTTTTTTGGCTCGCTTGATATTGTTTATAGCGAAAGCGAACAGATCTTTTTAGCGTCCGCAGCGTAATCTACATGAATCTAATAAAAATCTAGTGGGATCTCGGCGATCTTGACAGATTGATGAGGGTCATGCGCCCCATAGACGCACGCCCGTTGAAATGGCAGCTTGTCGAGGTTGCGCCAGCTGAATATCAGATCGTGTAATTTATGTATATGAATATCCACTTTATGATGCACCATTTGTTATAATGAGCTGCCACACTTTGTTGCTGGCTGCTGGCCAAAAACTAAACGCGCACAGCCCACCCTCGATTCCATTCATGCGTTGGAGCCCCATGTGGCGTATCCGGAGAGCAAGTGCATCCAGCAATCGCTCGCTGCACATTGTGATCGAGTGCTCGTATTGCATTTCGTGGCGAGGTCGTGTGCCATTTCAGTTTTTGGCCAGCTGTCTAGGCATATTTAACGCACACAGCAGAAAATCGCCAGTGAATTGCGTGAAGAATGCGTTCTAAAGCAAACATTGCCAAGGAAAAACAAACGCAGAGCCAATTTCCATATGAACAACGTGCCTGACGAAGCACACAGTCTCGGCTCTAATGGCCGAAAATAACTTTCATTATTTTTATTAAAACCTATTAAAGAAATATCGAGGATTTCTTTTCTTTCTGTAAGCTTTAAATTTGTGTATTTAATATTTTTAAAGCAATCTTTGTTTTATTCGCAGAGAATAATTTATTTATTTTAGATTCATTTATAACTCAGAATAATTTTTATTTAAGATATATTTTTATCGCAGTCTGTGGTACATTCGCAGTGTACATACAATGTATCATATCGGATACATTTTTATCCAAATAAACATTTATTCTTAAGATATATTCTTACTTCAGATACATTAGTATGCCAGATACATTTTATTATCAACAACATTTATAAATCAGATACATTTTTATTTAAGATTTATTCAGATCTTAGATACATTATTATCTTTTATCGATTTGTATCTCGTATAAAATTGGATCTCAGACACGTTTGATAAACGCATTCGTATCTCAGTAAAGATATATTTTGATCTCAGATGCAGTAGTATTTTAGATATATTTGTATCTCAGACTCATTTCTTTGTCAACAATAGTTGTCAAATATAGTTTTGCTTTGAAAAAATATATATATCTTTTTATACGAAGGAAAGTATCTCATCGATTTATTGGTGTCAGATGACGTCCATCAAATTTGTATTGCAAAGATGCATTTGTATCTTCATTTTTATTTAGTATCTTTAAGATACCAATACATTTAACATAACTTTCAATACTTTTGATTTTCTGCACTTCTTTCTGGGCCATCAATTTTTATAGTTAGCTTAAGTCTCGACAAGATCTTCGTAACTAACAGGTTCTTTAGTATCTTTTACAATATTCAGCCTGAAAACTTTTAAAAATCTTGCAGAATGACGCAATCCCCAATAAAAGCTAGTTGTCTCTCCATAGCGGAGGATTTTGCTTTTAATCAAATCAAAATGTTGCGCAGAGGTTGCTACCTCATATAGTATGTACAGGGTGCTCTTATGGTATATGCCCTTAGGTATGCGGAATGTACGCTGACCATTAATGGACTGGCCCGCATGCAACCTAAACCGCAAAAATGCAACGAGGCGGCAAACATAAAACGTTGTTTCCATGATGTTGGCCCAATCGCATTTTGCTGCTGTTCCATGGCCAGTTGCAAGTGACGCCTAATGCTGATTGTTGTTGTTGTTGTTGTTGTGCCGTCTCGTCCCCCCACCTTTGAGAATTGTCGCCTGGTCTGGCTGCCTCGGCTGGTGGCGGCAGTAGCTGCATTAACACCAACACAGAAACTTAAATTGAAAGCTTGCTTAATGCCATTAACATTTGATGGCTAACGACTGTGGCAAGACCCAGCCAAAGCGGCCCAAACAGCAGCAACAACTCTTCTGTCCAGTTATGGTCTATATAGAAAATCGAGTCGAGCGCAAAACTAACGCTCGCTCGTTAATTGCAACGTCTTGAATACCCTTGTCGAGGGTATTGTAATTTTGTCACCAAATGTGTTACACAGATCGAAATACGTTTTCGACTCCATAAAGTATCTAGATTCTTGATGAACATCGAGCAGGCAAACTTGTCTCTAGTCAGGGCGGCTCTTATAGATATACCACATGTTCTTGTCTGAACTAAATTTTGTTTTCTTAAGAAATCTTGACCACATGAACAAAATTTAGTCCACATCGGAGGTACCTGGGCATTTAGCAGAAGAAATGGTCGACAAATTAGTTTCTGTTTGACAAATATTTCTGTTTGCGACATCGTCTTCATTTAAAGTCAGCACTTACGAGCTTCTCTATTCTATTAAAATATTTAACTTATATTTAAGACCGTATCAAATCGGACAACTATATCATGTATATTATATAGCTTCCATATAAAAAAAATCCACCGAAAAAAAAGCTGTTCCGCATATGGCTCTACCACTTTCTGAGCCTGAGCTCCGGTTCGTGAACCTGTTTTCCTCGAGCTTAGCTTTTAATTCAAATTCTTGACTGTCATTCAACTATTCAATTCTTTACAAAAGAATAAATGCCCGTTCTACTGAAAATATTGCTAGCCGTAGCTATTTCCATATAGAAGTTGGAAGCTAGATTTGATTTTCAAGATATATCCAGTGGTACGTCCTCCTCAAAAGGTTTCTGCTTTGAACCAAAACTTTCTTGCGACAAACCGTCGGTTCGGTTTTCGGTTCAACTTATTTTTAGGGCAACGGCTTGCTTTGAGGTTCAGTTAAAAGTTAAAAACTGAATTGGTTCGGTGCAAAACCGATTTGCAGCAGACATGGGATAGCTACGAGGGTATTTTAAATTCGGCGTGCCGCTTTTCAGCTCTTTCTTTTTGACCTAAGCACTGGACATGATCACCTTATCAGGTTCCAACTAGCCTTGCCACATAAGCGCCTCAAAATGTTGGCACATGTGGCATGGCATGCTATGTTTACATTATGGTAGAGCATGCTTCGTTTGTGCCCAAACAAATCTATGGCGGGATGTTCAATGCACATCTCTATTGGCCGATCATTGCCGGAGGCACTTATTATTTTTGTTATTATTTGTTGTTGTTGTGGTTGTGGTTGTTGCTTTTTATGACAGTCGCACAAAAGGGTCCGATGACAGATTAGAAACAAACGACAGACAGGCACTCAAACCGCACCCAGAACCATCGCAGACTTGCGGATCGGCGCCACTGGCGGAACATTTAAAAACAGACGCATTTTTTTGTTGTGCTTTTTTGTGCAGATGCATTTCTGTGTGCAGTGAAGAGACGGCGCCCACATTGGGAACCGGAAAGGCAATTGTATAAAATAGCTGCAAACGCATACGAAATTGGAACTGGGAACGGGCATACGAATGGACATGGGCATGGGTATGAGAATGAGGCGAGCTGTGGAGCAGATGGACACATTTTGTCTCTTTGTTTTTTGCCAGACGCCACATAAGTATCCAAGTTAAAATAAACAAGCCACCCTGCACAATCTTTCAAATGCAATAAATCTATCAGACTTAATCTGAATCGCACGGCTGCTAGACTAGAAAATATCCTGTATGCTGTTTAAAATTGCAATCAAAACAAATCGCCTTCAGTTCTTAAAAGCTGCTCATGATAGAAAAGCTGAAAGAAACGTGTACGACTAGAAGACACTCTTCAACAGTTTTTCACTTTCTTTAAATAGAATATAGAATAGACAATTGAAAATAGAATCTAGCACAACATACAGGCACCCTGTTCTGACTTGCTGCGCAACCTTTAACAAAATTCACATAAGACTTAAAGACACCCTGCACCGAGGCTTTAAATATCAGTAGAGCTTGTGGCAAGTTCTTTAAATGCTTATATCTTATATTCTTATATATGATTGAAAAACTGCTAGAAGACATCCTGTAAAAAGAGCTTTAAATTGATACCTTCTATAAATTGGGCCCACTTCAGATAATACCCCACATATGCACACTCAGTAACAGGGTATTAAAACCAAAGCATGGCAAAATAGGGTGACCTTATAAGCCGAAACAAAAACAAAAAAACATCAACAATTTCCAAAGCATGTCTGTCAGCGATCCACAGCTGACGTTGACGTTTCGAGGCGGTGGATGGGTGGGTGGGTTTTTGTTTGGTTTGGGGTTTTTTCCTGGTGCGCGTCTTTGGTCAGCCTTGAGTCGCGGAGGGTTGAGCGACAGTCAGTCGCAACCACCCCCTTTTTGGGCTGCAATTTGATGGTATTGTGCTTGCAAATGCAACGCGTCTCATTAGCTCAATAGATATATGCATATTTAATGCCCTATGTCTGGTTCTACAAACTGAACAAGAGTGCATTCGTTTTGTGAAAGTTTCGCCCACATTTATAAAGAGCAGCTACTTTAAAGATCGGTTTGACAGTCACAGCTTTGCGGTAACAGTCTTAGAGTCGTCCAGGCGAAAGTCAGGTGGACTCTTTTTGACAGATTTAAGTCGTAGATTCATTGTGCACAGAGTATTGCCCAGTCGGTTACAGCCGACGGCAAAGATCTTAGTTATTTGGATTTGCGCTATGCCCACGCAAACCAACCACCGACAAAGGGTCAGTGCAAAACACACCACCGTTAGAAAGGTGGCACTTTCAACCCTCGCATGCTAAGAATGCATTGACAGAACGTTAAAAATATGCAAAGCAAAATACAAGTTTCATAATCGACATGAAGCAAACATTTTTCGAAACAATTCAAGGAAATATAAAAAAAATTAAGCAGAGCCAAATTTCGTATAGAGACATTAATTTCCTTCAAGATTCTTACTAAAGATTGTAACATTTATCATTATACAACACTGGCAAACGGAAATTTGATTACAATTTCAATTTCTTTCTGTAGACCTCAGATTTACAACTCTATATGATAAAAGCTGTAAAAGGAATCCATTCTGAACAAGTTATTTGATCTGTCTAATAGTGGATATACGATAGATGTACGATATCAACAAACATTTTACAACACTATATGATAACAGTTGTAAAATGAAATAATTTGTTGATCTCTTTCCTACTGTTCGATAGGCTAAGCAAACCCAAGACTTTGGCCCATTTACGTTGACAGTGTCTGCAATCGTTGCACAACACTGCACATTGATTTACAGCTGTAATATGATTCTTATACTGTAAAGCACCGATCTATCTGACCCAGTTCTGTGGCCCATTTAAGTCGTCAGCCCTGCGGTTAACGATTTCAATTTCCATTTCTTTTGCAATTTACTCGTAACGAAATATCTGTTGTCTCTACATTTTATTATTTTGTGGCACTTCTATGGGTTTCGCAGTGCCAGCGAAGGTTGCAAAGCAAAAGAAACGCTTATAGTGGACCTTCCAATGTCTTTCTAATGGAAGACCAAGAAATGTGAATACAAATACGCGTAGATATGTATGTACGTATGTATATATACTATGTATACGTGTGTGCATGTAGCCCAGTTATGTGGGTAACGAAGGTAACTCAAGAAGTCGCTCAATGTTCTGAACTGCGAAATATGTTATTCACAAAAAGAAAAAAACAAATTTTTCTATTGGAAAAATACAAGATAAACACATCCATATTAAAATAGAACTTACTTTTCGGGCTTCCTCTTTGTCACACGCTTCTACTTCTTCTGCGCCTTCTTCTGCGTCAATTCTCACATGGAAGGGCAGTTGCGTCTTTGTGTTGTTTGTTTTGTTACGCGTTTCGCATGTCGCTGTCACGACTTCGTCCTGCTTTCAGTGCGGAGTTATGGCGAGGGGGGTGGGTTGGCACGAGACGGACGTGTGCGTGGGCGTTTGATTGTTGCGCGCGCGTTTGCTTTGCTTTGCTGTTATTGTTGTTGTTGTTCTTGTTGCTGTCCTCGTATCGACTGCCTTTGCGAAAAATTTGTTGCGTTTGCCGAAAATGGAAGGAGCACAAACACATACGCACTCAGACACAAAAGGGACGACGCGCAAACAAACCGTTGTTGCCCTCCGCTTGTTTTATGTTATTTTTATACTGTTCTTATTGTTATTCTTATTACTATTGCATCAATTATTATTGTTGCTGTTGTGGTATCAAAAGCTAACAACTTTTACAAAAATAGTTTGGCTTAACACTGTACGAGAAAAAAATTAAAACAAAAATGAATGCTAGCGCAACGACAGCGTCAACGCAGCAACGAAACGCAACAGCAAAAACAACAATGGCAACATTGTCTAAAGCAACAATAATTGCCACAAGTATTTAATTCGTATGACTACTCAAGCGAATTGTTCCGAGCTTGAGTTGAAACTTGGCTCGATTCTAAAACGGTTTCCGATTGCGTTTTCATTACTTTGTTTTGCTATTTCTGCTAATGTTGTTGCTGTGTTTGTTGCTTGCGTTGGATTGTTGTTGGCAGGCACCGTATTGACTCTTCCATCACTCGTAACAGTTCGTTTATGACTGAGTTCGAACGCAACTAACAACTCAAAACGTAGAACGCACACAGGCCAACAACGAAAAAGCGCTCTGCCGGCGTCAACGCTGCGTCGCCGTCACAGCAGCAACAGAGGTCGTCGGTATGCGTCGCAACTACAGCAACGTCGCGGTCGACGTCGCGTTGCGACGTGATGCTTTCTGTATATCGTAAGCATTTACGATATTCCCACATATGCTACCGCCGCTACTGTCGCTGCTGCTTTTTCCATAGTTTCGCAGTCTGCTGCACACGACATTCGTTGCGCGAATCCAAAGACAAAATGAAATATATATAAAAACAAGATGATGATTGACTGAATAACGGTGACCGTCTGGAATAGTAGCACGTGAACTCTTGCGACCGCATCCGAATGCGACAGATTGCATAATTCAACAGCTAACGGGTATATTGCCGTTAAAGGGTAACTTCGCTATGAATTCCTTGTGCGAACAACCATTATAATGTTAAAATATTGTCTCTACATATAAAACTGTTTGTCCTGACTGACTGAATGATAGAAAGTCTGACTGATCGGTGATCAACGCACAGCCCAAACCGTAGGAGCTAGGAAGCTGAAATTTAACTGTACTTACCCTGTGTGATGGTTCACCTCTAAGATGGGCTTTTGGGAATTCCACCCGCAAGTGTGGAAAAATCGCTAAAAACGTTTTTATAAAACTTGTTTGCTTACCACCCGATTGGCCTGAAAGGGCTCAAATTAATTTCTAAGAATGTTTATACAAATTTTGTTGATACGTGTCTCACACTTTTTGCAGAATCTAAGCTTCCTCAGTTTGCTTCTGCTATTAAACGATTATTAGGCCGAAACTTTAAGTATGTACATACATACGTACATATGTGTATGTATGTATATATGTATGTATGAATGTTTAATGTATGTATGTATGTATGGATGTATGTGTAATGTGTTTGTGTATGTTAACTTGTTTATATAAATGTATATATGTATGTATAAAAGAACTAATGTATGTTTGCATGTATATATGCATGTGTGTATGCATATATAAATGTATATATTATATATTCATATATATGTTATTAAATATATGCGTATATTTTGTATTTTCATATGCAAGACCAAGTTTACCCCTACCTGCGCTGCAAATTAAAAAAAAAAACCTATTCTTAGCTAATGCCCTACTACTCGATTCTCATGAATTCAAGTAAGTCCCATTGGCTTCTCTTCAAGTAGAGGAGGCGGCTTCAACCCTGAAGGAGACGGCGGCCTTAGATATAGAGGAAACGGCAGCTTTACTATTGGAGGAGACGGCGGCTTCAACTATGAAGGATACGGCATCAATGGAGGAGGCGGATCCAACTATGTAGGAGACAGTGGCCATTGATTAAATTAAAATAACAACTATTACAATCGTATGCTTGCATTTTTTGTCTTTATTTAAATACATAACAAATACATATGTATGTATTGTAATGAAAATTCATTTAAGACGTGTTTCACACTTTTCGCAGAATCCAAGCGATATCGGTTGAAAATGCGATTCAACGATTTTTAGGGCGAAGTTTTAAATTTTGTCCGATTGGTTTCAAACTTATTTTCAAAGCCCTACATAAGAGCTTGATGAACACGCAACTTCGAAAATTTTGGAAAAAACTGGATGGTCTTCATATATGTATATTTTTTTCAAGATAGTACGGGCAGATTTCAATTTTTCATGGGCGGGAACTCGATGAAAAAGAAATATTACAAATATTAAGCACAAAACTTTCCACGGGGCAACGCCGGAGTACACACCCTATATAAATATATTTGATATACATATACACACATAATGTTACTTACGTTTAATAGGATTATATGCTAATCTCCTGCTTTCGTTGCCTCAACTTATCCGATTTCGGTGCACAAAACACTTTTTGGGTTGGGTTTTTTCATTGTTTTTTAAAGTTGGGTATCTACAATTTTCTTTTGAACATAGTTTTTGGAATTTCCCCAAGAATACCCCACATAGGAGTGTCACTTCCTAGATAGATCATTTTGGTTATGAATGTGACAAATTAAGAGACTACTCTAGTGCTTGATTATAATATACCCTGTACCCACAAATTAAGGGTAATTTATTCTTAAATAACTTCGGTGTTTTAAATTTAATCTCATATGCTCAGGGCTTAAGTAGGGTATCCAAATGTGTGTATTTACACAGGCGCTCGGAAAATGATACTATTGTTTTCAGTTTTGCGGTGGAACAGGGGTGGCATATACTTTACGATACCCTACATGTATTTAGCTTTTTTAGTCTCTGAGATATTATATAGAAAGCCCCCTATTTCTAAGCCGATATTTAACAATAAAAAATAGTAATTAATGCTTCTAGCTTGATATACTAAAATATTTTTATTAGAGATCAACAAGTTTATACAGACGGACAGCTAGTGGGAAATGTCTCGATCGACTCAGTTCGTCGTACTGGAGCTTTGGAGATTAAGATGCTTCATTCTGTCAGTTGAATAGAATCATATAATACTCCCTTTTAGCCCATTTTTAATGCGAAGCAGACATATAAGCTGAAAATAAAATATATAAAAACAAATATGTTACTCACATTTTAAGCCTTATCTTAAGAACCAACATTTTTATATAGACTTTTATTTTGCGATCATCGGAGCATATCACAGCCGAGCTCTATAGAGAGCTCAGACTGTGTAGGGATGGGGATTTTTAAGGGAACCCATGGCTGATCGGGGATATTTGCCTGTTCGTGATATCTCCGTTTCTTCTAATGGGGAATTCGATACAAGGAAGAAGCGGCCTTTAATGCGAATTTCGTGTTTGGACAATTGCAATAATCGTCCGTCTATGCAGGATTCATTGGTTGCTTGGGTCTGCTGCATTTCTTTTTCTTAATAAGTGCCTTGTGGTCACGGATCACGCAGTTACAAATTTATTTGAACAAAAATCTTCATACAACCTTTTTCCACCCATTTTTCACAGTTGCGGGTGAAATTTACTTGCATCACATGCATCTTCTTAGCTCTAAAGGCTTGGAATGTGCATTGCTTACCAATTAGTCAGTCAATCAGTCACTTAAACATTCAGACAATCAGTCAATCAGCTAGACTGTCACTCTATCAGTCGTTCAGTTCAGTCGCTGCAGAAAGAAAAACATTTTGAGAACCGTGTCTTGATGCTGATGATTGACCAAAAAGCCCGTTGCTAGGTGTGAGCTCGGGCACTTTTGGCCATGCGTCTCAGAATCCCTTTGGATGGGAGTGTGTGCTGACACGTTAGACTGTCGAGATTGTGGTCCATAAGGAGCTAGTACTTGTGCGTGATTATGCGTGTCTTTACACAGGGATAATAATACATACACACGCACACACACACACACACACACATTCATATTCAGGTATGTGCTTATGAGGACACACAAGTGTTCCAGAGGTGCGACAGAGCCAGGACATAAAAGAACGAGCAGGCCAGCTGCTGCTGTGCCTACTCGCTGGGGCTGTGGCTGTAGCTGTAACTGTGGCTCTGGCTGTGGCAGTGGCAGAGTCTCTAGCTGGGATTTTTGTGGCGCATGCGTGTAAAATCAGGCAAAGGACATTCACCTCTTGGCTTAAGTTTGCCGCCAAACAGGGTGCATTTTGTGTAAACTTGTTTTTGTATCTAATTGCAATGTGGCGCGCCCACAATAAATGCTGCCATGGGTGGGTAGATGGGTGGCCTATTTGGGTGTAGGTGGTGTTGCTGGTGGTGCGTAGGCATACATAGGTGTGGACAATGCCTGGGGATGGGCCGGTGCAGGGGCAGGAGCAGGGGCAGGGGCATGTGCAATGGTCAAGCTGCAGGCCTCGCTGTGTGGGTGTCCGAATGTCCGCATATCCGTGTGTGTGTCGTACCCCAAATAGAACACTAATTGAATTAAACAGCCAACAAGGCACTCGTCCCGTCCAGAAGCAGTCGACGAGCCCTGGATTAACAGCAGGTCCCCGGACCCCCGGACTTCGGTTGTATTTGTAAGTCAACAAAAGAAAAAAACAAGGCGATAATAATTCCAAATATATAAAAATGTAGAATAAAAACGAACAGAAATGCTAACCTAGTTTTCGGCCAGCTCAGTTGGCCAGGGCGTGGTTCAAGTCCCGGGTAACCAGTTGGTATATGATGGTATACATATGTATATATGGCACGCATAGGTACATAGGCCGCACAGCGCCTAGCTAAACAGCATCCACAAAACTGCAGCATAAATCAGGGGCAGCGCGCACAGCATCCACAGGCGAGACGGCAAGTCTGGCTGGCAGAGAGCGGGATGGCTGGTGGCACAGAGCAGGAGCGAGAGAAAGGGAGAGAAAGTGTGTTGTTGGAGTGAAAGCGTAGGCCAAATGGGGAAAGCATTAATGCTGCAGCTCCGTCAAAATGCAGAGCCCACGATTTTTGGGATGCGTCCGGGTCCAAAAGATACGCATAATTGTTTGTTTTAAGTCTCTTTTTTTGCATTATTTTAGCGCTCTCTCTCCTCGGCGCGCTTGCAACCCTTAACCGGTTCGTGTGCCTCTCGCCGAGCCACAGATACATGCCCATTTGAACATACAAATGCGAGAATATCAATTTTTTATTTTCTATCATATTTTTTTTTCCCAGCTCGCCGACTGGGCTGCTCCCATTTCGCAGCGAGGCATAATTATCTGACGAATTGTTTAGAGAACTGGAGAACCGGAAGTGCTGGCTGGCGCTAACTTGACCCAAATGAAACAATTAGCAAATGTGCGTTTTCATCGTAATCGAAATCGTTTTTATTAATTTTACTGCATATTTAATGCTTATCTATGATCTGTTAAGGGGCGTGGCCGCAGGGGACTGGAGTGTCTCTTAAGCCAATTGTGGGAACTAATCAAATATTTATGTATTTTAGCTTAATTTTATTCAAATAAAACTAAATTAATTTCTAATCTACAAATGCTGGAGAGAAAAACAAGGCAGATTGAAGGAATATATGACTATTTATTAAAAAAAAAAAAATAACATTTATATTGCAATTTATGATTGTGTTGAAAAAACACTCCAGTATTTTATTTTTCTTTGTTGAAGATTACAAATACATTAAATCGAAATTGCAACTATTATGGTTTTTTGTTTTTTTTGTTTTAGTATCTGTATTTTTATTTAAATGTTTATTTATTTTATATGGCAATTTAAAAAAGTTTTTAATGAAATGGTTATAACTTTGATGTTTACATTTATATAGTTTGATTTCTGTTTCTTTGACTACTGGAATAGGAGCTTTCAATACACTTTTTATTTAAATATAGTACGAATTCATTTCGCAAACTAGTAACTAGTTAATTAAACACTATTATTACTTTTGTAAATACATTTCAATATTTTTGGTTTGACACTTTCGTTTATGCGCTTTTCATTTCGTTTTCAATTTATTTTGAATTCAGTTTTTGAGCAGTGTCCAATTCGGTGTACAATAAATACATGTAAGAAAATGCATACAAAGTTATAGTTATGCTAGTTAAAAATTTAGTTTGAATATAAAATTGAGATAACTAAGTTATGCATACATATATATATAATTATATGTATATATATATGTAATTCTAATTTTATACTTTGATTTGAATTTTTGGTATTGTTTTTTTCTGTTTTGGAAATTCTGTTTTCGGCTTTAATAACGTGAATATACAATAAAACTTCAGACTTGCCTTCAAATACGAACTCAAATCAATCAATCACACATACATTAGCATATTTGATTATGTTGTATATGTATTTGTTAGTTAATATTGAAAGCAATTTTAACTTAGGCTAAGTAAAAACTCTTTGGCATTGAAAAATATACAAGTCAATGTTTCGTAGATGAGGGAGCGGAGAGTACACAAATACGAATATTTTAGTAAAAACTTATGTTTGTTAAACGCTTAGTTGCACCTACACACATATATATTTATATATATATATGTATATATATTTACTCTATACCTTTATGGTAGACAAAAAAAAAATATTTTGGTTATCATTTCTTAAAAGTGTTTTACTCTTATGTATTTAAAAGTAGATTACATAGTTAGTTGTTGTTGCGTTACTTGTGCGTCTCTTATGCGATTCCCGTGAATCTATTTTTATGATTTGTCCTTCTATCGTTTGAGCTTACTCAATACTGAATAGTTAGTATAAAAACTCGTAAGTCTTAGCTATGAATTTGTGATGGGACTCGTAAATGGGAGGGGGGGGGGGGGGGGGGGGCACAGACAGACATACTAGTTATGTTTGCATGTGTATAAGTAAATTATCACAAGAACCTATAAATAAGGGTAAACGAAGCACTCAACAATTATTTCAATGCTTATAAAATAGTAGCCAATAGAACATCTAGTTTTCAATTCAAATATTTCAATTCAACAAATACAAACTCAGTGATTCATCGGCTAATGGCAACGAGATACGATTAATAAACGAGGAATTTCAACAATTAGGGGATCATAACTATTCGAAATTTACTTAAGAGTGCGGCAGATATTTAAGATCTTACTTAATATAAATATATATATTTATATATATATATATATATATATATATGTATATTTATGTGAATGTATATATTATATATGTATGTATATAGTTTGATATCAACAAAAATGTAGTTGTTGGCTGTTGTTGATCATGAACATTGGCATGTATATGTATATACTATATTTTATATTTTATAAACCTTTCTATATCATATGCTACTATGTAGTATAATATAGTTAATACTTTTCGTGGTTGTTTGACTTTATCGCTCGCATTTGGTGGGGTTTATGTTTTTCTCGCTTTATATTTAATATGCAAGTAGATGTATTTTGATTTCAATGAACTTAATTATGAATACGCAGCAATGTCTACGATAATATCCTTTATTTTTACTTTCATTATTATTATTATTATTTATTATGCTTTTGCTCGAGTATATCCATATAGAACGTTTTCAAACTGCACGAATGCCAAATATGTAGTTTAGTATCATATTATGTCGTATCGTGTATATTGTTAAATCGAACTCTTTAGGTTATAAGCATACTATATTTGCTTTACGATTCACAACTCGTTATGCGGCAGCGCCTTTCTCGGCGCTTCTCAGTTGAGCTACGTTTGTGTTATGTTGAAATTTCGGGCTGGTCATTAAGGATAAACATTCAGTCTCTTTAGAGTGAACATAAGTGGTATGAAAACTGTATTGTGATTCGTTCAAGTCTGTCATGGAAATTGAATATGGTGCAAAACTGCAAAAGCTATTGAATTTTTGATTGTTTTTACTGATGGGCAACTTTTAAGATCTGTTTTGGAACTTGTTATTTTAACTTTATGCATATGGGGCGCATCAACACACCATCATTTTAAAATATTAAAAAGATGCCCATTGTGAATAAACATGGAACTAACCTATGGGTATACGTGTATGTAGATATCTATTAAACTGATATCATTAACGATTCGTAACATTGTGATATTTTACCATACATACACACCTTAAAACACACGCAAACAGACAGACACATAAGAATGGAAAGGCCTTGCTAAGCATCCCAAGCATTTGGCTGGAGAGATCATAGAATCGCTCCAGAGGAGGCCCTTCTTTCATTTTTCGCTAGATGAAATTTTAGAGGAGGCCCCTCTACCATTTCATCCTAGATGAGATTCTAGACCAGTCCATTTCCCTATAGAGCAGATCTTTATTCCCTTTTCCCCTAGTCGAGATTCTAGATTGAGTCTAAGTGGCATCTCCTTCGCGTTTGCTCCCCGCAGAGTAATCGTAGAGTGGATGATAGGCAAAGTGGTTGAAAGCCCCACACTTTTCACGCGTTTAATGTGACCCACCCCATAAAAAAAGAGAAAAATAAAATACCCACACACAAGTTCTTTAGACACGAGACTTTAGCTTTGATTAGAAAGGACTTCACATTGCTTGTGGGGCTTCCTTAGCAATTTTTGTGGAATATTCGTTTAGGAATGTCTTTTAAGGGTTTACCTGCAATTATATACGGATTTCTATGTATATATGTATTACATCTTAAATATATATGTTTTCATTGCCATTTTTCCAACTTGCGGATATGTTTTTAGGTTTTCATTTTCATTTTAATTTTCTTGTTGTTGTTTTTTCTGTTTGGGCTAAATGACTTTTGCACCCGCTCAGGTTTAAATATGTTGTGAAGTTGACTCTCCGATGGTGGGTGTTGCTGTTGGGTGGTGTTTTTTTTCTTTTTTCGTAGTGGTTCCCTATGCTTGGTGGGTGGTGGTGGTGGTGGTGGTGGTGTTGGTGTTGGTGGTGGTGGAGGTCCTGCTGCGGGTGCTCAAGCGCTAAACAAAGTTGAGCTCATGGCCGCTCAATGCGTCAATGAACTCAAAGTGAGCGTAAACTCATTCGCCGTTTATGACGTAGACCGGACAGAAGGCCTTATCGGTGTTGAGGCTTTGCGGCGACAGCGCCCGGCCGTGGGCCCGTTCCAATCGACTGGCTGCGCTGCCGCCGCCCTGTTCGGCCTCGTCCAGCTGGACACGTGCATCGACATTAACGGCATTATCTGTTCCTGCTTCAGCGATGACATTGGCTCCGTCGCTGTCGCCGTTCTCGTCACCGTCGCCATCGCCTTTACCGTTGCCGTTGCCGTTGCCGCTGCCGCTGCCGCCGCCGCCGCTGTCCACCTCGTCGACTGTCTCGAGCTCGCCACCAGCCAGAGTTGTGGAGCAGTAGCAGTAGGATAGATTGGTCTTGAGATCCTCGCAGAATTGTTGCTGCTGCGCAATACTTTGAATGCGCGAGCGGGCGAGTTCTCACATATATGCCGGCTTTAGCTTATAGGCCCGCTTCCAGATCTCGCACAGGCACACTGTCGAGTGGAACCGATAGAATATGGCCAGCGGCATGGATACATGTGTTATTATGGTCCAGGCCCAGAGTCCGTAGAAGTTCAGCTGTATGGGATGCGATTCGGCTCGCGATTTCTCCAATGTGCTAATCGCCCACATGGCCAGATTCACCACCAGCATAAATGTGACTATTTCCCGTCCCGGCTTCTTGCGTATATGCTCCGGGCTGACCGCCTGCCGCCGGCTAGCGTCCAGTATGAACATGGTCTGGCATGCGGTCTGCACAATGGAGGCCAGCGCATTAATGGGTACCAGCATGTCATCGCTGCGCAGAGTAAAGTGTCCGGCGATTACCGTGAAGATGTTGTACAGAAACGAGCCCGTCTGCGCGCCCACCAGCAGGATGTCATCCAGGGAGAAGCTGCGATAGGCATCGTACTGCAGATGTCGGATCTGTATCATGCCCAACAGGGTGGCTATGGTCGCAGTGCCATATATGAGCAGCTCACAGATGGTTACCTCGGTGACCGCGAGAGCAACAAACTCCGGTCGAGAGATTAGCACAAAGAATATTATCAGCGAGATGATGGTCAGCACGAGGATCAGTATGCCCACAAACAGACCCTTGTGGGCGCGGGCACAATCCACGGAATAGTGGTGCGGTGAACGCTTCATCGGTGAGCTAATCATGTCCGGTCGTTGTGGAGTCGCTGTCTGAGGACGGGAAATGCTGCGCCACATCACATAGAGTATGGCGGCACAGATCAGCGAGTACTCAATGGTGCAGGGGAATAGAAAAGGAGAGGCGTCCTGCACCAAAGTGCCAATGATATTTGTGCGACGGCACTCGAAGATCTGATAGGGACCCTTCAGGCCACGTGGCACACGCAAATGTGCCGTCGGATCCGGAGCAATGACAGCATGGCCGCGCGAGTGGCCCGGTATGCGATGCGAAATGCGCAGCGTACGATTTTCCGGATTGTAAAATGTGAGTATTTCGTGCTTTGTCTCCTGAATCAATACGTTCAGCCAAACGGCCAGATTCGTGCCGATCATGTGCATCAGGCCGAAGCGTGCGATGATCTTGTAGCGATAGACCTTGATCTGCTCGTTGTTCAGAAAGATGAAGTACATCTGGATAAAGATGAAAGCCATGCGGGTCGCTGGCGTCAATGCGAGCAGCACATTGTGGCACTTGGTGTCCGGATTCAGCTCAAAGTACTGGCCAAACTCGAGGCCAGAGTAGATCATGCTGCCAATGCCAAATGCTGCAAGGTCCAAATCAAATGTTATACACCTGCTGCTCAACCTGCCTTCCCCCCGGCCAGAGGGTGGGAGCAATTGGAGCTGAATACTCACCCACAGCGCCCATGCGCAAATAGAAGCTGCCGTAGTGGTGCTGCCTGCCAAGCGGCGACAGCAGCGACGGACGACGCACTTGAATGGGCGGCGGTATGCGGCGATGGCTCGATGTGCTGTCCGTATCCGATTCATCCATGCTATCCGAGGCGTTCACCTTGGCCGCCGACTTACTGGGCGAAGTAGCTTCAAATGCCAAAGGTCATTAATGTCATGTGCGCCCAGATCCTTTGATTCTCACTTACCCATCGGCACTGGCAGCTTGGGACGTCCCCAAAGCAGTGTGGCGTACATAAAGAGCAGAAAGATCATGCTTCCAATGTACAAGTACAAATAGTAGACCTGGAGGAAAAGAAAAACAATCCAACCGGAAGTTGCAATTACATAAGCTATTGAAGGGATAAACGGAAGATGAAAGTTCAAGGAAAATATTTCAGATCAAGAGAAGAGCAACAGGCAAACAAAGAGCTATGAAATTGATAGCATAAAAGCGAAAAAAAAAGTATTAAGAAAACTAGAAAGAGACTACAAAGAGAAACGGAGTGGAATAAAGAAAATACTAGAGTCTTCGAGTGCTAGAAAAACTTGATAAAAGCGGAATTTACATATATGTCCTTCTATAATAATAATAAGTATTAGGAAACGCAGCCTCCAAAAAAGTTTTTGGTGAAAGGGGGAAAGAAACATAACCTAAGAAGGTTACAAAATAATAGGGATTACAATAAATACAAAGTAAATGAACGTAAAGTTGTTATGTTATTATGTTATTCTATCAATAATAAATGAACTTAACAATGGGGAAAGCACAAACTCACCTCATAGAAGGATGGCGGTATATAGGTAGAAATAACTTCGGCCATGGGAAAGGCCACGCCCATGACGACCAGCAGTTTGCCATAGAGTGCTGAAAAGAGTGTGGCCAGAGCATCGCCGCTGCCAACCAGATATTGATAGGGGAATGAAAGGGAAGATATTGATTAGACTTAAATGAAAATATTAGCCACAAAGTAACCGCTACTTACGCCTTGACGCGCGGCATTGGTGGATAGACAAAGGAGGGGCGATGGGTGCGCTTGATGGCCGGCAGCACCGGATAGTTGGTCAGCTGATGGGAGTGATACATAAGTGCCAGCTGGCCACCCTGTCGCTCTCTATCTGCATTGCTGAGCTGACATTCGGAGCTGCTGCCAGGCGATGAGGGTGGCTCAGAGCTGTCGCCACCGTGATCGCCATCACCATCGCCATCGCCGCCGACCAATATCAGGCCACTGGGTCCGGCGGTCTCCACATTGCTCTTGTGCGGCAAACTGGACTCGTCGATGGTAACGTGATGCTGCGAGCCGGAGCGTGCCGAAAGGCGGCCCGGCGATACGGCTGCCGCCACGTGTCCAGCCTCTACAGGAGCGGATAGCAGCGAACTGCTTAGTATGGGCGCCGCTAGAGGCACTGCGCGTCGCATATAGCTCGGTGAGCGTCCATCTCCATCCAGAGCTGATGCCGCCGACGACGATGGCGTATAACTGCTCGGCACTGTGGGCGTGGGCACGCGAACACTGTGCGTATGATGATTCTGATGATGCGGATGCTGGAACTGATGCGGCAGATGGTAATGATGATGGCTGCTCGTAAAGTGGGCACGCGGCTGGCTGGTCACCACCACGCTGGCCGGCGGAGTGGTGCCGGCAACGGAAACGGAAACGGGCTCCGAGCTGGGCAGCTGCGTTTTCTGCTCATCCTGATAGCTAAGCGTGGCCAGCGGTGGCTCCGGGGCGACAATGCTGTTGCTGCTGCTGCTGCTGGAAATGGAAATGGAAGGCATGGAATGTGGATCTCTGGATTAATAATGCCCGTAATAGATGTGCAGTCGCCGTCGCGCTGAGCGACATCGATTGACTGAATGCGCCGCCAGTTGCTGGATTTGCATGAGGCCCCCGTGCCGTTCTGTGAGCGCAGATTCGCGCAGATATTCTGCAGGCGCACACTTGGACGCAACAGCCACAACAGTGGCTTAATTAAATAATGGACCCGCTGTTGCCATGGGGTAAGCCAGCAGCTATGCATATATACATATATATATATATTATATATGTGCACATTACTAAATGCCCGCTATGTGCTATGTGAGCGCTTGACCGTTGGCCACTGCTCATCATTTCGGGTGCCAGACACTTCCGTCGTCGTCGTCGTCGTCGACATTGTGTGGCACTCAAGCGCAAAAAAAAAACAGCCTCAATTATACAGATAAATCAGATCACTAAGATCTGCACTCAGATCAGATAACATTTAAGAACATATCTTTGCTTCCATTCCCGAACTCTTGCTGTTCACTCCGATCTCTCAGCTTGCTGCAGGCCACTAAATCATCCAATCCATGAACTGTGTCATTGTCATTGTCACCATCTGTTTCCAGCGTTTTTTTAATTCTCCAGTCTATAGACTCCCACGCGCTAGCAATGTTTAGTGTGCGCCTAAATTGTGCTTAATAACAGCAGCAAAAAAATAGCATACAAAAAAAGAACTAATGAAAAACCCCCTCCATAAACCGCAGCTGGGCTGCCTACGTTGGCAATTGAAACTAATCTCTATATGCATATGTGTGTATAAGGTATACATATATATATATGTATATATATATAAATATTTGATATATAGCTAGGTGACGAAGCTGCCCGATTTATTCTCTCAGGCCTGGGGCGGCGACTCAATATTTGGGGCACTCCTGCACGGCGGGCGTGTAATTAAGGCTTAATGAGGCTGTCAGACAGGTGCCCAAATTCTTATTAATATTTTCCATATACAAATTATTACGACTAAAATTAAAATAATAAAATGAAGCTAATTTATGACGTCTATGAATTTTAGATAAAAACAGCGAATGCTTCCAAAACTATATCCTATAAATATCTCAAATACTAGAACGAATTTCCCTGCTGTATTTGAACCGGTGACTTCAGACTAACTAGCCCGACGCTCAGATACCTGAGAGTGCTTAAACTGCCAGCATGTTTTTCTCTTTGTGAATACAAACCAATTGACTACACAAACAAAACTTCTGTTGGATTTGATCCGGCGACTTCACACTAACTAGCTCGTTGCGCAGACACCTAAGCTCATCCACAACCTTTTCTCTGTGCGCACTTTCGAACCAAAGGAAAGTTTCAGTGTAAATTTTAGCTTCGCATCTCTCAGATAGATATTCATCAATCTCGAGTAGATCTCAAGCCGGCATAGTTAGATATAGACACAAAAATCATAAATTCATTCACTACCTTGTCTGAGGTTGTTCACACGAATCTTTGTTACAGGCTGCCATTCATTTGCATTCGCAGACACATTCACACTCGCCCACACATGCAGCGAACTTGCCTTTGAGTATGAATGCAACGGAATGGATTCATATGCATGATTTGTTTATATGAAATCTAGATTCAAGATTGTGTTTGAGTTAGAGCTTGAGTTTGAGTATCTATCCGCTTGGCACTCGAAAATATTGTCGAGCACAGCGGCACTTTAGTGGGAACTCATCCCATTATGGTGCCGCACTTGGTATTTGGATGAAGGGTACATAGAGCTCATACATTGCAACAAGTGTTGCAGAGTTTTGTGCCAGAGCTTATAAATAACCTTGACATCGGGTTGACTCTGGCGCGCTTCCAGTTGACGGAACACAGGCGTCCATCTAGCTGGCTGGCTGCCAGCCTGCCTGCCTGCCTGCCTGTTTTTTTTTTTTTTGCCAACCGGTGGTGGTTACTGTGGGTCATGCACTCAATCGCTCTTGTAATACGATTTCTATAGCGTGCTGCATACTTTATGGCGTTTCTGTCGGGGTTGTTAACCTGCCCGCAACTCGGCTGTTGCATAAATGGTTGTGCCTGTGCAGGAGGCAGGCCCACGCCAACCCCAAGCCGGAAGCCTGCTGGGAGCGGGCATGCATGTGGCACTCGCTACAAATGTTGCAACGTGCTTGTGGCACAGAAAAGTGCTGTAGATGAATGCAAGCAGAGGAAATTTAACTAATTCAGTGGTGCATAAAACTTATCGATAGTTTGAAGAAGACAGAAGTTTGAACATTTCAACTGTTATTCACATACTAATTAAAAGCACTCGTGGGGCATTCGAACTCGTTCCTAACTCATTCGTTAGGCCTTGTAATGCATTCGTAATGCATTCGTAGAGTGTTCGTAATGCATTCGTAACGTATTCGTAATGCATTCTTAAGGGATTCGTTAGGCACTCATAGGGTATTCGTGAGGCATTCGTAGACTATTCGTAGTGTATGTATAAGTAATTCAAAAGGCATTCGTAATGCAATTAAATGGCATATTTATGGCATTCGAAACGTATTCGTAATTAATTCATAAAGCATTCGTGAGGCATTCGTAATGTATTCGTAACTTATACGTAATGCATTCATAAGGCATTGGTAATGTATTCTTTAGGGATTCGCAAGGCATTCGAAAGACATCCGAAAAGCATTCGTAAGGCATTTGTAATGCATTCGTAGGGCAATCGCAATGCATTCGCATGGCATTCATAAAACATTCGTAATCTGTTCATTCGGCTTGTTTTACTTGCCGTTATTCACATGCCCATTCACAGAATATTCCAGTCTCGGGCATTAATTCCACACAAGGCACGCGCTGGCCTGGAAATGTCCGACTGCCGTCTGGGCAAACAAAACCACGCGAATGGAATGAAGTTGCTGAATGGGCAGCTATTTCCGGGTGACCAGCAGCTGCTGCTGCTGCTATAACGCCCTTAGCACAACAACAGCAAGTTTGAATTGACCCATTTTGGTTTGAGCTGGACTGCTTCAATATGGGGGCGTGGCAATGGGCAGATGTCGCCGCAATTGTGGCAATGCGCCTGCCGACGACAGCAGGTGACAGCAGCGGAGGACAATAACCTACAGCAACTTCTTTGTTGCGCAATTTGCTCGTGGCGAGCCAATCTACGCGGCATCTGCAGCTGCGGGCAACATGGCGTATGCGCATTAACCAAGTGCCGCAAACGCCGCGTGGGCCCTGTGCGGCCTCAATGCCTTCGCAACTTGTCAGGCTGTTGCACTGGAAACGTGATGTTTAATTAATGCAAACTGTAAAAGCGACTACGCTGCCATGTTACGAGCGAGCTGCCATGCCCAGCGAGGCGCTGGCTGCGAGCTGGATGATGGCGCATTTAGATAGCAGGCGTCAGACATAGGCCCCGGGCAACAAGCGCTGCATGCAACATGCGGCAAGTGTCGAGTGCACGAACTAAACAGTTTTGCTCGGCTATCAACAGCAACTAATGGTTGCAGACAACAAGCTGTCGAGAGCCTAGGCAATGCTTATGCAATTGACAAAGGTGCAAGGGAATGCGGCGATGCCAGTTTTATGTAGAGGGTGTGTGTGTGTGTGTTTGTGTGTGTGAGTGTGAGTGTGTATTTGTGCATGTGTGCCTATATGTTACTTAAAGTGCTTGGCAAGCAGGCAGGCTCGTCATAATAAAACCAGAGCAGAGCAACACAACAGCCAACAGATGGTTTAGATAGATAGCTACCACTCGAGACTAAAATCGAGAGCCAAAGTTATGGAGCGCAAAATATCAATTTGTATTCCTTAACAGTCTAACGAAGAAGATAAAAGAAATGCATATTAGTATACCAGGTGACTGGGTAACCGAGCTAAATGAGTTATGCGAGTAGCGCGGCCAACCTAATGAGAAAACCGCATCCACAAGCGTGGAAAACAGGTGGAAAACGCAATCTACCTGACGTTTAAAGCCTGGCTGGCTGACAAAACTCTTAAAGTTGCCTTCATCAAGGTTCCATTTTGAATTCAATCACATTTGACTACATATGTTCATGAATACAATCATATTCAATGTAGCTCGGATTAGAATTTGAAACTTTCCTTTGGAATTGCATCCCAAGTTAACTTTTTAAAATGGAGAGGAGCTAGTCCTTACAATCGGTGACGATAACCCAAGCATATGGACCAACTCCTTTTTAAGGAATGAAAGTTAAACTGTGTTACCTTACGGCCAAGAAGAAGACGTTAATGAGACTGCTTCGACCTGGGGAGTCATAGCTCAATGTCATTTAATGGATTCTTGTAGGCAACTAAGAGATCTTAATATCGCCCCATTATGTTTATGGATAGTGAAACACTTTGCAATGAGACAAATCCTAATCCGCTTATTATCTCTTCTTCGTCTCCGGCCAAAGGTTTTAATGAATCTATCATAATATCTTCAATTTTAGTATTGTGAAGATTATTATGATTATTTTTATTACTATTATCAGAACAGCCAAATTGATAAGTAGCATCCTCTTCTATTTATAGGCTATGATGGGACATGGGAATTCGGACCCTAAACTTCGTTGTTGAGGTATTTTACAAATTTAATCTCTTGGAATGTAGCATCCAAGTCGCATTTATTGCATTGGCTAAAAAGGATATATTTTTAATAAGAATATGCGTCAGGCAAATAGCAAAAAATAAAAATGTTTATAGAATATAAAAATTTTGTGGAAGTCTTTTTTCTTGCTTTTAAAAAAGGAGGAATTTTTTTTTTGCTGATTTTTTTTTTAATGATATAGAGTCTTCTAGTCGAGCCCTCTCAACTAGAAAGAATGAATATCGTGAATGGAATTTATGGGGTTAAATGTGGTTGGAATGTGTTGCGTTCCAAACATTGAAGCGGCACTCTGCTTACCTGGCCTGGTTCTTGGCCACGACTGGCACTGTGGCAACGGCTGCTGCGGCTGTCTCCGCCAGCTTTGGTGGACTGCTGACCAGCGGGGGGCTGCAGACGCGCGGTGGCGTTGTTATGCGCGGCGGACTGTGCATTTGCCGCGGTGGGCTCTTGGCCAGCTCGGGCGGCGAGCTGCGCATCAATGGGGGCGAGGGCATGGCTGGTGCGCTCTCGCCTGCGGGCGGGCTCTGGACGCGCTCGGCGCTGCGCTGCGATGACCTATGCGATAGCGCTGGACTCCTCTCCGAGATCGAGGCCTGCGATTTGTGCGATGTCTGTGACTTGAGCGATGCTTGAGGGGAAAGCACCGGCACCACGGCTGCAGCAGCGGCGACGGCTGCTGCAGAGGCAGAGGCTATAGAACCTGTACGGGAGCCGGTCCGTGACCCTGCGTGCGAGCCCGTGCGTGAACCATGCTGGGAGCTAGTGCGGGAGCCAGCATGGGAGCGCTGACTGCCGCTGCGACTGGGCACACGGCCGTCTGACTTGGGCGACCCCAGACCTGCGTTGCCAGCGGCCATGGCTGCTATGGCGCCAGTGGTGGACATGATGCCACCGCTGGCAATGCTGGCGGCTCGGGGGGAGCTGATGCTATCGCCTGGCTCATCATCGTCGGCATCGTCGGCGTCGTCGTCGCCCACATTGGGAGATGTTTTGTCCATGGACAGTTCATCGGTTTCAACCTTGGTTAGGTCTTCTTCATCAGCGTCGAGCGACTGCAAATTCTCTTGCTGCTGTTCATCACGTTCATCCGCATCCACATTGATATCCTCCAGACCTGCCGGCGGTGGCGGTATGAAGCCATGTCCCAGACTGTCCTCGTCCAGCTCGGCAAAGTGCTCTGGCGGTGGTGCAATTATCGAGGATGCCGAGTATCCATTGCTGGGCGGTGTGGTAATCGTTGTTGACTCATCCTCATTGTCCAGGGATCTGCTGTACTCCTCGGTGGCCAACTGCTGACCACCGCTTACCAGCTGCTGATCCGGCTCTGGCTCCGGCTCCGGTTCCGGGTCTGGTCGTGGTTCTTGATCTTGATCCTGCTCCATTCCCTGGGGTTGCTGCCTAACAATGGGCTGGGAATTTGGCTGCGACTCCTCTTCGCTCTCGGACGAGGGCGTTAGGGGTGGTATCTGACTTACGTGTTGCGCTGGTGGCGACACTATCTTGCAGATGTTCAGCTCCGGGCACAGCGGTGGCGTTGCCGGCGGAGATGGAGATGTCGATGGTGATTTAGTTAAAGGGGGCGTGACGCTGCCCTGCACATACGATAGATTCGAGGGCAGTGGCGGCAACGGTGGTGGCGGTGTCGATTTCTCCTCGTCCTCATCTTCTTCTTCCTCGTCATCATCATCATCGGCATCATCATCGGCATCGGCAGCATCTTCCTGCTCCTGCTGCTGCTGCAGCTGCATAGCTACTGATGGCTCAATGACCGCCTCCTCGGCATCGTCTGTCTCCTCACCATCGTCGTCATCGGTGCGCAGTCCAGCATCATCCATGGGCGACAGTGGCGGCGGCGGTATCAGCTCCAGTTCGAGCACAGAGTTGCTGGGCGAGCCGGGAGGTGAGTTGGCCTCCATGCTGAGCTGCTGCTGTGGCGGCGGCGTTGGTGTTGGCGGCATATCATCCGTCTCCGTTAGCGTCGGCAGCGGCTGGCCAAGCAGCGTTGTTGGCGGCGGCGGTGGTGGCGGTGCCACCAACAGCAGCATCTCCTCGCTCAACGGGACTGTGGGCAGCGGCGGCGGCAATGCCATCTGGATTCCAGAGCTCGAGGCGAGCGCATCATCCAGATGTGTATTGCTGTTGTCCACATCCTCGATATCCGAATCGATGCCCTGCGCAAAGTCCATATAGAAATTGTCGCGTGAGTCGCTGGAGCCGCGTCGCAGTTTCAGCGACAGCGACAAATCCGGCGAGCTATCCATGCTCGCTTTTCACTGCCTGTGCCTGCTTCGACTGTTCCTGGTCCTGTTACTGTTCCTGTTTCTGTTCCTGTTTCTTCTGTACCCCTGTCTCTCTCCCTGTCTCTCTTCACTCTGCTTTCAAATTCCTTTATTCGAGCTGTGAATTGTTTTTGTTTGCCCTTTGTCCTTTTTGCCTGTTGGCTTTTGTTATTGTTCCTGTTGATGACGCTCTTCACTTTATAGCGCTAACGCGCATTTTGTGTATCCTGTGTATCCCTAGAAATGCAAAAGTTACAGCTACACACACGCACACATACGCACACGCACACGCACGCACACGCAGGAAGAAAAAACTTCGTCAAAAGCCTCTCTGTGTTGCAGGATCGGGGCGGCGGTGTGGGGCGTGGCAATTGCATTTGCTGCGCATTTGGCCTTCTACGCCACAACTGCTTTGCGTATTCGTGTGTGTGTGTGTGTGTGTGTGTGCGTGTGTGTGCGAAAGTTCGTAATATGAAAGACGCAACAACAGCAACCCCGAAAGGGCAAGCGGAACTGCTAAGCAGACAAAAATATTGTTGTTCCTTGTACGTTTGCTGTTTGTTGTTGCTGGTTTACGCTTGTTTGGTGCGCAGTTGTTGTTGACTTACTGACCAAATACACACACATATACACACACACTAACACACTAAGGCAGCTACCGATAAGCGATAGCTGTGGCTTTTGAATTCTAACGGACAGCACAAAAACTTTATGTATGCCAAATGCGAAGCCGAAGCCGACGCCGACGCCAACGCCAACGCCGAAGACTTGGCAGCGCCTTCACAGGAAACCACCGTGCGTCTGTATGCGTGTGTGTACACCAAAAATAATGCGTATGCCTGCGTGTGTTTTTGTAGGGCAGGGATTTGGCTTCTTGTAAACTTTTTTTGCACAGCAAACTAAAGCGCAACCGTTAGTGCAGCTAACTTGAAAATACCGTTATTTAATATTTACTAACAATTTTTTGTTGTTGTCTTTATTGTTGAATATTTTAAATATTTCAGTTTTAGTTGTATTGCAATTAAGGTTGCCGATACCGTTACACATTCACGTTAGCTTCGTTTTCTCAACGTTTCGGTTCGGTTTGTCTCGGTTCCGGGTTTCTGGAGGCACACGGAGCGCGCCTGACGCTGGGATTTTTCGATTCCTGCTGCGGCGGCACTTAATTCTAGAATGAAACGCCAGCACGAGACAAAGCTGCGCCACTGCCGTTGTCATAGAAAACAGATGCCACAGCCTCTCAGCCACAGCTAGTGCCAGACCCAGAGCCCGAGCCCGAGCCGGAGCTGTAAGCAGAGAGAGAGAGTGAGCTCGACAAATGAGAGCAAAGTGGATGGAGTAAAAAGAGAAAGAGAAAGGAGGAAAGGAAGCGAGAGAGAGAGAGAGAGAAACAACGAGAGTGATAGCTGCTGTGTACAATGGTTGTGCTGAAACGAATCATGAATGAAGAGTAATGTTCATGGAGCATCCACATGAGCGGCCCACTGTAAGTTGTCTATGGTCTCTCAACCTCTTCGATCCGGGAGCATGTTAAATGCGGCACTGCGTAGTGACGCCTCAATTGAGAGCAGAAGTAATATGAAAAACAACAACTACAGCAACTACTTGGTCAAAGCGTATGTGCGCACGCCTCCAGACCCTTGTAAAGTGTGCCGGAATTTCGCAAATTTTGCGCGCGAGAGAGAGCGTATTTGGTGTAAGTAGGAAGCCGTCATGATGGTGTAATACGCTTTTAAATTATTATTAATCAAATAACAAATAAAGAAAACTATTATCAAACTAGTTATTTTCTAATATTTGATATATGAAATATACTACCTACCTGCTAATTGTAAATCAAACCTCGCGCCAACTTAGTGTTGCAAAACACGATTTCAAATCATATCGTTTGCCTTAAGTAACGCATGTATCGGTAACTTTGCCGATATTTTTTGGTACATAGCTAACTTTTTAGCGCTTAAGTCTTTTTATCCCCCTTTTGAGCTCCATAATTAATTTGCTGCTATTCGTTTTTTATATGACAGATCCATATTGGAATATTAATTAAATTAGTGCCGCTGTGGTTGTGATGTATCCCATATGTTTAATGGCAAAAATTCTCAATACTATCAGCTTTGATGCCTGTCATAATTATCGACAAGCCGCCACAATTTATCGGCGATTAGCGTGCAACTCCTCTGGACAATTTGACAAAAAAAAAGAATATATATATATATATGAAAATAAAATCAATTATAAAATTCCAAGTGTGTCAGAATAACTCAATGTTTCGGAATCGCATATTAAATTGCAAACGAGTGGACCTACAATGAGTTCGCGCAGAACGGGTGCTGGGCCCACGCTCAACTTCAAAGCGGTGCTGCTAGGCGAAGGTGAGTAAACCTCCAGTCGCAATTGGACGCCTCTATGGTTTTTATATTTGTAAAGCGCTGCGCATTTTGCAGGCTGCGTGGGCAAAACATCGCTGGTATTGCGATACATGGAGGACAAGTTCAACACACAGCACCTCAGCACGCTGCAGGCTTCTTTTGTGACCAAAAAGGTAACACTGCCAGATGAGCAACGCGCCCAGCTCAATATTTGGGACACAGCCGGGCAGGAGCGTTTCCATGCATTGGGGCCTATTTACTATAGAGGCTCGGATGGCGCATTGCTGGTGTATGACATCACCGATCACGACTCCTTCCAAAAGGTCAAGTCTTGGGTACGCGAACTTAAACAGATGCGAGGCAGCGAGATTGCGCTGATTATTGTCGGCAACAAGACTGATCTTGAGGACCAGCGCGCCATTAGCTATGAGACTGCACTGCGCTATGCGCAGACAGTTGGCGCACAGTACGTAGAGACGTCCGCCAAGGAAAATGAGGGTGTCAACGAGCTGTTCGAACTGCTTACCCAGCTAATGGTGGAGCATTATGGTAGTAAGCAGCAGAGCGATACCAATGCATTGCGATTGCAAAATTCCAGATTGGCGCCCAATGCCGGCGCCATCAGCATCTCGGATGACGCCGAGGCGGATCAAGAGAATGGCCACGCAGCCGCCGCACACCGATCCTGCTGTGGCATCTAGGCTGCCTGTCAGTCGTCTATTGTGATAATACATATGTACTAGTAGATCTGTAATCGATGTGTATTTGTATATAATACGTGTATTTATGTATCCCCTATACCATATAGTACCATTTACAATGTGTTGGCATGTGTAGATAAGTACGATGTTATGAATTACCCATTTTGAAGGAGCACCCAAAACTATGGTTCAGTATATTCTTTTTTTGTTTTTGTGTAACTCGTTAGTTTCACTCTTGTTTTTTTTTTTGTACTTTTGGAAATTGTTAATTAAATCTTTCTGTATGCAACAGTCTCTTAATAACTTGTGAATTTGTAAATTTCGTGTGTCTGCGCGTACTTTATATCTACAAGTATGTAGCGACAAGAAGGTTGAATAATCTGCAGGCGCTATTAAATTCACAAAGCGTCTCGTGACTTTTCATAATGGTTGCCATTTGAGACAAACAGCTTAAATACTCTGTAACAGGCATTGTAGAAAATTGATTTGGGGTTATTTAGTTGTATTTTAGGTACATTATACAAATATATTATACATAAATAACCTTGAGAGCTTATTAAAATGAAATCATTTTATAAAGGTACTAAATATATTTTAACTATTAACCTAGTTGAGTAATGGACTTTGAATTAAAGCCCGAAAATGTTTGTTTAACATTTTATAAGATTTAAAAGTACACAGATTGTACAGGTATTTCTTAAATTTACTAATTATTGTTTGTTAAAATGTTCATAATATGATATAAGTGAAAAAGAGCAGTCGAGTATTAGGAATTTCCAACATAAATTGAGCGAACAAAATTAAAGATTCCAAGAAAGTTAAGTTATTATATATGCATTATAAAGAGTTAAAACTAATTGAAAAAAAAAACAATATGAATATTTACTGACATTGTGGCCAGTGGGCCATCATTGGGAGCTAATTTAAAATTCTCCTAATTGCATTGAAATGTTTTTGCACAAGGTTGAAATGAATGCAATACATGGACGACAGAAGTCCATTAGGGTAATGAACTAATGTTGTCAAAAGATTGCGCTTCAATTAACTAAATTCGTGGCTTACCAAATTAAACACGCTTTTCCACACGGGCATGTCATTTAACTAAAATGCGATATAACATGCTATTTGTATGTACATGTATGTATATATACGGCATAGAAAGCCTTGTGTTCAAATTCTCAACTGTCTTGTTATTAATGCATAGTCAGCTGCCTTTTCATTTGGTGCGCTTGTTACAGGTGAAAAGCGCCTACCTAGCCGCTAATGGAATTGCTGTGGCAACTGTTTTTGAAGCACGCGGAACGTCGACACTGCGCCAAAGAATTAAGATTCAATTTCTTGGGTCCTTTTCATTTACTTGTAATCATTGCATGGAAAATGAAGCCGCTGCTCCTGATCTTAAAAACGGGTCTTGTCTATGGATTCGTTACGCTTTTCGCGCTGCTCTCGCACCTGCTGAAGAGATCAATTCGGGCGCTGCACTCACTGGGCCAGCCATGAGCCAGCACAAGCTGCGAAATAGTCCCAAGTAAATAATCTAATATTTTCTGTGAAACTTATTTTAAAATAAATATTTGCATTTACTAGATTGTAAATTGCGAACTCAAGCTATTTGTTTAATTAACTGCGCATAGGTCATATTTACTATAATTTAGAATATAATTTATTAAACTCAAATGATGTATAAATTTAAGTGTACTTATTTTTGTATGGAGAGCCTATAGCTATGTATTTGAAAAATTTGGTATCAAAACATAATCAGAGCCATGTTTTACATATGCAACTAAAAATTGAATACTACTTCATACGCTTTCGAGGGATTCACCCAAAGGAGAGGGCTGCGATCGAGATCCCCGATAAAGTGCAGCAGTACATTTAAGGTATATACTGATACATATCTATCCACATATCCATTAGATAAGCTAGTCTTAAGTGCTTTAGAATGGAATAGTGTTACAAAATATCAGTCTAACATTCTTTTTAAACAGCTCCGGTAACATAACCGTCTGGATGACACCTGCACACACGGCTCATCTGCTATCGGGGCCCGGCATAGCTAGCTATCAGCGCCATGTCGCATATAAATCTTTTTATCAGCTATCACTGTGCCGGCACATTGGGCCAATATGTGAGTACATTTGCTTATTATTGGCACAGCAATCAATAATGCCTAATCGTCAACACGTTCACAGGTAGACTGCGTCAGACCGCCCGACCACGATAAGGGCAAACACAATTAGGCCATGACACCAAAGAGGCACACAGGCGAGAACGGCCACTAATCGCTGTTAATCAATTGGTGGGGCGCGCACTTGGGCCTGGGCATGCTATCTAACGACCATGGCAATTGCCGATGACCGTTCGAGCGGGCTGGTTGTTGGGCCAACTAACGTGGCCGCAGAATGCGCCTGCAAACGCGCCGCACGCTGACGTTGCTGTTGCTCTGCCTCTTCCTGTTTGGAGCGCTGATTTACAAAATAACCACCTCACCGCTTGTGGATCAGAATGGCATATTGCGTGAGTATCTGGAGAAGAGGGCGGCCACGCGGCCAGCCACGCGTTCCATTTTGCTCTGGAGCAGCTTCTTTGGGGATAGGCGTTGGAAGCTGCCGTTTGATGCGCTGGGACCGCAGCAATTTCGGGATGAGCTCAAGTGCCCAGTCTATCAGTGTGAGCTGAGCAATCGTCATGACTTCCTGCCCAGCCTGGAGCTCTACGATGCCATCGTTTTCCACGTGGCACAGCCGTTTCCGCTGCTTAAGCCGCTGCCCGCACGGCGTAGTCCGCATCAGGCGTATGTCTTCGCACTGATGGAGCCACCGGGCGAGACCAAGCACCAGCTAAGCGATGAGCTGAATTTCTATAATCTAACAATGACCTATCGGCTCGATTCGGACATTGTTTGGCCCTATGCCCAGCTGCTGGATATGGAAACGGGCGCACCAGTGGCGCCTAGTCTACAGCCGCATTGGCGTGAGCCGCCGGCGTTGGGCAGCTGGAATGACAGCACCGTGTGGCGTCTGTGGCCAACGAAGACGAAAATGGCCGCATGGTTTGTTTCCCACTGCAAGACGCTGTCAAAGCGCGAGCAGCTGGCTGCTGCACTGCAGCAGCACATCCAACTGGACATCTATGGCAGCTGTGGCAACCTCAAGTGAGTATTCAACTAAATCCAATGCCGGCATAAAGCTAATCCAAGTCTTCGTTCAGCTGCGCACGGGGTGATCCACGCTGCGATGATATGCTGGACACGGATTTCATGTTTTACCTGGCCTTCGAGAACTCGCTGTGCATGGACTATGTAACCGAGAAGCTATATGCTGCACTGCAGCGCCACATTGTGCCCGTCGTGTTTGGCGGCGCCAACTATACACGCTTTTTACCGCCGCATTCGTACATCGATGCGGAACACTTCGACAGTGTGGAGCAGCTGGCGGAGCATTTGCGTTTTGTCGCCGGCGATGTGCAGGAATACATGAGCTACTTCTGGTGGCGGCAACACTACAAACTAGCCAACAGCTCGCCATTCTGTGAGCTGTGTGCTCGGCTCCATCATCCCAGCTGGACGCACAGAACCCAGATCTATGGCGATATACGGGCCTGGTGGTTCAACAGTTGTCGCCTCTCGTCTCACATACGATTCTGAGGAGCGCAGCAATAGCCGCCACATGAGACTGAAAGGAATGCAGCTATATGTGTAGCAATTTGTGCAAGCGAGTCGGAATGATAAGATAACGATTAAGGATGGAGCAACAAATGGATGGTATTTCGGTATATCGTTATATATACTATGTATGGCCATAATACCATTAGCTTTAAATTGCGTGTCAAAGGCGTACTTCACACGCCCATTGTACACACAATTCTCTCCAACTGGTTAATGCTGTCTTTGTTTACCTATCACGTCGAGCTCTTGAGTTTCCATACATATGTACATGCATAGTTCCTTATCACTATTTATACACTGATAAGAGGCATTATTTACACACATGTATATAGGTATGTACATATGTATATACATATGTTGTTATTTTGGGGTTGTAAAAACTTGCAACTAATGAAACTATACCTGACTTTGTATACCTGCTTATTAGTGGGGTAAACTAGCTCAGTTGAATATGATACAGCATTATCTTTTATGTATATCTGTGCGCCATAAAGTTCTACTTGTATGGTAGAGATAAATATATACATTTAATATGCCTTCGACTGTTATTCGTATAACTCATCTTAAGTCTATAGTATATATACTTTGGTAGTTAAGTATAGAAAATAATAGTTAATAACTTTTGCTTGCCTAAAATCCAAATATTTACTTGCATATAAAGCAAACTAAGAATATACAATACAATAAAATTAAGGTCATAATCAAATAAACCTTCATATTTCAACTGAACTTGAATATTATCCACATCCTGTTGCAATACAATATATTATTTGATATATTTAGTTATAATAGTAATACAGGAGGTTTATTTATTTTTATTCATCCATACAGTTTTTTTATCTTTTATATATGTGATGTATAGCCAGGATTTTTAGTCAGCCTGTAGTTCGGTTTATGGCTCAAACCAACTCGTTGCCTTTAGGTTCGATTCGAATTGCTGGTATTACACATCCCGGACGGATTTTCAAATTTAAATAAAACAATTCAATTTCAAAATTTATAACTGTTCCTTCTACTGAAAACAAACATAGATTGTTAGATATATGTTCTCCTGCAGAGTCCCAAAACTGTGGTCTACCACAGTGATCTACCACATGATCAAATATATCCAGTTTGAGAGCTGAGACTTTCTCAAAAGTTGTTTAAATTTAAGAAAATCATATCTGAAAATAATTTGTTTCGGTTTGGATTTTTTGGGCAATTTCTTTGGCTTAAAATATAAAAAAAAATTAAATGGATTTCCGGCTTTCAACAGGTTCGATTGAAGTAGATACTTTTAACCTAACCTTTAAATAGCAATTACCACTTGGTAACCTTGGCATTTATCGGAAACGAGCCAGCTTAAATAAATCACCATTAAAGTGGAGAAACATATTCGATTCCTTTGTTGAAGCTTTTCGAATTAATTCAATTTAAGCTGTTTTTCCGCCTCAGGGCTGCGCAATGCGGTTCTGCTGCTTTTGCGTGACTCACGAGTAGCTCACGGGCTACCAGTCACGAGTCACGCGCACGCGCCTGATCAAATGTCAAGTGTTAAAACCGATGAAAGCGACAACAATGACAGGACTTGATTTGTTTTTGTCTCTGCTGCAACCCCCGCATATTCTCACGCTCATGCTTTCGCTCTCTCTCACTCTCCCTCTCTCTCTCTCTCTCTCTCTCTCTCTCTCTCTCTGCCTCTCTCACTCTCGTTATCTTTGCGAGCGCGAAAGCTTCAGTTGTTTTTGTTAAAGAAGCTTATGCCTTCGGGCTTATCACGTCACAGCTTTCTGGCACAGCAGGACCTCCCCACAGGACAAACGACGTCAGCTGTGTGCATGTGTGTGTGTGTGTGGGCACGTGTTCTTGTGTATGTACATGTTGAAAGTTTTTGGTGCGCGCTATTCGCGCAGCTTTTGCGGCAAAGCTTTTGAAGGATACCGCTGCGTTTGGCAAAAAAGCATTTCCTATGAGTTTTCTTGGCATTCCCATTCATTCTGTGCTTGATTTCCCGATAGTTCGAATCAGAGGTAACAGAGCAAAAAGCCATTCAAAGTTAATATAAATAAAATCCAGCAAAAACCGAACCAATACCCAAAAGCCACAATTAATATCTAAATAATAATTGATTTGCTCAATTTGGAGCTCAGAAATAGTTTGTTTTTTTAATTGTTCTTTAAACGTGCGCAAGAGTGAGACGTAAGTTGCATAATTTTCAAATCGAAAGAGAAACAAGAAGCGAAGGGAGTGGAAAAATCTAACCAATTTGCACGGTGCAGTTACAATTATTTTCCTTTATTTATATTTTTTTGTCAAGATTTTCTTTGGAAATTGTGAGTGATTGAAAATCGCTGAGAAAAGCCAAGAAAAACTATCAGAAAACCGAAAGCTGATGAAGGAAAACTTTTTCATAACGTGTTTGACATGTGAACAAAAAAAGAAGAGAAAAAAAACGTGTAAAACGTACATTTGTGTGCGATTGTGTGTGTGCGAGATGTGTGCGTAGGCGCGTTCTGCTCTGGACAGTACTAGTGTGCACTGAACATATCGCTCTCTCTTCCCTTCTTCAGCAGCGTACCACATACTATATCTTTTTTTCAGCCCTCCGCTCTGAGTGCGCCTCAGAACCATCGATTTTTCCGAGCTTTAACAAAAACGCCAACAACAACAACAACAGCACAAGGAACAACAACGGCAACAGCAAGAACAACAAGTATAAGAAAAAAGGTACTACTGCCCCCCATTTTCATTGACGTTTGTCCTTTTTTTTCCGTACTCTTATTTTGTGTAGCTGCCCCCCCTTTGACGCATGTAACCAAGTGGCCTCAGCACCTTTTGCGTATTTCGTAATATTTTTAATGCCATTGCCTTTGTGCTCGACAATTTCCATTAAACGAATGTTGACAATTAGCCCGGAAATCTATTTGCTTCTGTACACCCTTGAGGCTTACACTCCAAGAAAGTGTATCTCAGTTGCAATGAAAGGTATCGCACTTTCAAGATCAGAGCAGAGAGTGTATTGGTTAGTGAAATGCTTGGTTCATCAGGCTTCAGAGCTTTTGACTAATGGTGTGGATATCTTTTAAGATAGGATTTTGTTTTAGTTTTATGGGTGGAAATCAAATATTCCTCCTTATATTTATAAAAATTATCACCATTTTAAAATGTTTTCGTTAAAATATAAATCGTACAATGTTTGTCAGACAATCAGACAATTCACATTTGTGATAATATACAAGGTTTATTATAACATCAATAAAATTGATGAAATTTAACTTCAATCTGATTAGCTATTAAAAATTTGTATGATGGTTTCCCTTAAGAAAAGAAAATAGATAATATATAGGAAAAATTTAGTTTTTTTCAGAAAATCGTGAATTTCGAAGTAAAACGTAAATTTTCTTATATCGTAAGCATTTTCTCAAGCTCGGGCGGTACTTTAGAAAAGATAAAAGATATAAATGCCACTCAGATGATTAATGTTGCACGCTGCAGGGCGGCGCAGGTGTCCAATTTCGTTTTCATTACCAACTGACCATGGACTACTGTCATTTTGCCCAGTGTAAGATAAAGCTGTAATATTGTTGTTGCTGTTGGTGTGTTTGTTGTAGCTGCTGTGGTGAATTGTAGTGTGGTGAAAAAGCTTTACCAAGTGGCAAGTTCATGAGTAGGTACACAATTGTGTCAATCCGCTGCTCGAAAAGTGTCCGCATGTATGTGTACGCGTGTGTGTGTGTGTGGGCGAGTGTGTCCAAAGAGCGTTTGAATTTTTCCATGCAACATTCGCAGTGGAAAGCCAATTGAAACAAGCTAATAAAATATATCAAATGTTTAATGAAAACGCACGATAACACCAGGAAAAGCGTCGAAAAGTTTTCGTTAAGTATTTCGGCAAATATTCTGGACATTGCGAGGGGTCAACGGTGCGGCGGTGAGTGTCTTCGTGTCTAACCCATTGCCAAATAGCCAAATCCCTATTACTCATTCAACACATCGATAGAATTTATACAAATATATATATAGTATATATGAATGCGTAAATTTGTATACCCAAAAGTAGTGAGTGTGAACAGAAAGCTTCCTTCAGTTATTGCGTACTTTGAATACTCTACCTGAGATAAGATGCTGTATCCGTTTTAATCGTTTACTGTATATATGATTCGTAGCTTACATAATTATTAATGCTCGCGCCAGTCCTCCTCGCCCTCCTGTAGAGTACGTTTCAGTTAGATCCACATACACGCATGCATTATATGGACGTTTGTATGTATGTATGTGCGTATACACAATTTTGTACTAGATGTTTGTATGTGTGCCGGTGTGTGTGTACATTTGTATTTGCAGACCGATCTCGATGTCTCCGCAATTAGATAATGCTTAAGTTACCAAAAGGCTTAAAAAAGAAAAAGAAGAAGTCGAAAAAGGACCAAGAACTCTTCACCGAAGAGGAGCTCGAGCAGTACAAGCGTGAGCTCAAAGCCAAACAGGAGGCTGCCGCCAACAAATCAGACGCTGGCGAATCGGACGCAGCATCGGACGTCGAGGGCGCAGCAGCCACATCCAGTCGATCACATACAGTTTCGGCAACCACATCAGCCTTTGCGGCAACGGGCACTGCCCACGAGCAGCAGCAGCAGCAGCAGACCGCTGACGCTGGCGACGAAGAATGGGCCAAGTTTAAGGCGCTAACCTCAGGTGTCGATACTATATTACACAAGACACAGGACGAGCTTGATCGCATCAAGAAGGAATCCTTTTATCAACGCCTGCCCTCGGCAGCCGAAAAGAAGAAGCAGGAGGAAGAGGAGGCCGCTCGACGTGAGGCGGCAAGACTCGAACGCGAACGTCAACTAGCCGCTGAGCGCGAGGCGAACCGTGACAAATTAGCGGAGGCCGTTGTCCAACTTTCCGACTCGGACGACGACCAGCAGGACGAGGTCGATGACATCTTTGCCACTGACTATATCGAGGCAATTACCAGCGGTGAACTGCAACTAACTGCCGTACCCGATTCACCCGTGCTTGACCTAAACGACGGACCCGATCCCTTTGATACCGCTTACGCGGAGAAGGTCATTGTTGGCGCCGACAAGGCCAAGGGCAACAAGAAACTCGTCAGTCTCGGCGCCGCCGTTGAGGTGCTATCTGGCCGCGTCGATCGCGAACACGCACTCGCCCTAGCCAATCCCAAGCGGAAGCTGCGCAAGGGCATACAGAATCTACTGCTCAGCGAAAGCGTTGAGCTAGCCGATCCCGAAGCGGATCTCTTAGGTGCCGAGCCCCAGCATAATCTACTCGACGATCTCGTCGATGACGCGCCCGAATGTGTAGGGCCCATTGACTTAAGCGTTTCGCTGCACTTGCATTTGATAAAGCCCCAGAGAGTCGACGAGGACGAGGAGGAGGGCGACGAGGGACTTGGCCAGCTCAATCCCGATCTAGCCGAGTTTGATGCTCTCAAAGACGAGGAGGACGACGAGTTTGCAGAACTAGCAGCAGAATCTCTAACCAAAAAGGAGGAGGTTACCATAGTTAATCAGGTTCTGCTGCCG